TTTTGATTGATTTCAGTTTAAAGTCTAGTTTGTTAGATATTAGGATTGCTACCCCTGATTGTTTCTTGGGACCATTTGATTGGAAAATCTTTTCCCAACCCTTAACTCTGAGGTAACATCTGTCTTTGAAGCTGAGGTGTGTTTCTTGTATGCATCAGAAGGATGGGTTCTGTCTTCAAATCCATTCTGTTAGCCTGTGCCTTTTTATGGGTGAGTTAAGACCATTAATATTGAGGGATATTAATGACCTTTGATTGCTCGTTCTTGTTTATTTTGGAATGGTTGTTCTTGGTGGAATTGTATGTGGATTTCCACCCCTTTACTCTTTTGGGTGTTGGTAAAGTGGGATTATCTATTGCCTGTGTTTTTTGGTTGTAGTTAACTTCCTTGGACTGGAGTTTTCCTTCCATAACTTTCTGTAGGGATGGGTTAGTGGATATGTATTGTTTAAATTTGGTTTTGTCATGGAATATCTTGTTTTCTCCATCTATAGTAATTGAAAGCTTTGCTGGGTATAGTAGTCTGGGCTGGCATCCGTGGTCTCTTAGTGTTGAAAGAATATCTATCCAGGACCTTCTGGCTTTCAGAGTTTCCATGGAGAATTCAGGTGTAATTCTTATAGGTTTGTCTTTATATGTTATTTGACCTTTTTCCTTAACTGCTCTAAGTATTCTTTCTTTATTCTCTATGCTTGGGGTCTTGATTATTATGTGGTGAGGGAACTATTTTTGTGGTCCACTCTATTTGGTGTTTTGTAAGCCTCTTCTACCTTCATTGGCATGTCTTTCTTTAGGTTGGAAAAGTTTTCTCCTATGATTCTTTGAATATGTTTTCTATCCCTTTGAGTTGGGTTTCTTCACCTTCTTCTATACCTATTATTCTTAGGTTTGGTCTTTTCATGGTGTCCCATATTTCCTGGATATTTTGTGTTAGGGATTTGTTGGACTTAAGATTTTCTTTGATTGATGAATCCATTTCCTCTAGTGTATGTATCTTCAACACTTGAGAATCTCTCTTCCATCTCTTGTATTCTGTTGGTTATGCTTGCATCTGTAGTACCTGACTGTTTCCCCAGTTTTTCTATTTTCAGCATTCCTTTAGACTGCAATTTTTTTATTGTCTTCATGTCAGCTTTCAACCCTTGCACTGTTTGAATTGTTCCTTGTAATTTTTGCTTCATGTTTTCCTCCCTTTCTTGCAATTGTTGGATTTTTTGGTTTGTTTTTTCTTCTATTTCTTGCATTTTTTGGTTTGTTTTTTCTTCCATTTCTTTAAGGGATTTTCTCACATCCTCTTTGAGAGCCTCTATCATTTTCATGAAGGTGTTTTTAAGGCCATTCCCTTCTGCTTCATCCGCATTGGGGTGTTCAGGTCTTACTGGTGTAGAATCTCTAGACTCTGGTGGTGTCATATTTGTTTTTCTGTTGCTGAGTGTGTTCTTATATTGCCTCTTCCCCATTACTTCTTACAGTGGGTGTAGAAAGAATCTCTTCCTCTCCTGGTGGGTAGGCAATGAGGGTTCCCTTTCAGTGGGTGCAAGCAAATCCAATACTCTCTGGCCTCTGCCCTCTGCCCTGAGTGTGTGTGGAAGTGGACCAGCTCAGGCTACTGGTCACTTGGTCGTCCCTCCGGGGCCGAGTCAACCTTGTTGCAGTCCCCAAGCCAGGGGATCCGAGAGAGGCTGAGCAGGAGGATTTCAGGTCTAAAATGGGGACCTGGTGCTCCCCTCTGCCCTCTTCCGTGAGTGTGAGCGGAAGTCGCACCACCTCTTTCTTATGCCCACCATTTCTATAGTCACAGTTGGTCCAAGGAGCCAATACTTCCTATCTGGTTTACCTGCTGTTGTTTCCTAACTGGTCTCTGACTGCTGTCTGTCATTATCTTGAGCCCTCTCTATACAACAGGCAGAGTGATTCTTCAGAATAGAATAGTATTATCTCTTATTTTTCTGACTTTAATCCTTCCAGGGCCTTCCCACGTCCCTTACGGTAAAAATCTGAATTCCTCATGCCTAGAGAGTTCTCTAGCATCCCCGTCCTTGTGTCTTCTCACTCCATTTGCACTGCTCTCGCCACATGGCCACATTGGCCTCTTGCCTTTTCTTGACTCCCCCTACATGCTCTTAGCCCAGGGCCTTACACCTGCTTTTCTCAAGGCTTGAGTGGTCCAATACCTACTTGATGGACTCTCTCACTTCCTCTCACCAGTGAGGACTACCCTGAGCTTAGCCACACATCCTCGTTCTCTTTCTTTTCTCTAGTGTTAATGCAACGTGTAATAATTTATTCCCATTTACACATGTCTCCCCACATCAAATCAAATCAAATCAAAGTTCTGTGGTGCAATATTTTTGTTTTGCTTGTTTTCTGATTATATCCTAAGTGACTAAGAGAGCACTAGTACATAGGACCAGAAGGGAAGACACTGAATTTTCTGTGTACGACTCTAGAAAACGGAGTGCAGATGTGTTGGAAACAAGTGGGCAGCTCTTCTCAAATATTTGCTTTAACTGTATATAGATAAGAGGCTTCAGAAAAGATTGGGAACTAAGAAAAGATTGCCTAGTCTAAAGAATTTGTGCAAACTAGGTCATTAATAACTGTTATCCGGTAGTTTCTTTAAGGTTAAAAGTACATCAAAGATTTAAGTACACACACCTAAAACCCCAAAAATCACAATGATCTTTAAGTGGATTCTTGAAGATTAATTTTATTTTCCCCATTTCATGTTATTGATGGGCTATAATCCATGACTATAACATACAGAGAAGCAGGTAAATAAGGGCAAGAAAGATAATTTTATAATCTTTCTAGTTTTGCATTATAGAAAAACAATACCTAGCATTTTTATCTTGATGACTAAGGTAATTTCAAATAATTACTCATCATTAAGAGGGTTTGGGAAACATTACGGCAGTGATACTATTTTGTTACCATGAAGTTATTGGAGGGAGGTCCTGGAGCAGTGGCTCAACGGTAAGAGTGCATATTGTTCATGTGGAGCACCCGTATCAAGTGGCTTACAGACCCCTGTAACTCCAGCTCCAGGGGATCCAGTACCCTCTACTGGCCTCTGTAGGTACCTGAATACACACACACACACACACACACACACACACACACACACACACACACACACGTCTACAAAAAAGGAAACCCAAACTTATTAGTGATGATTTGGCTCAATTGGTAAACTACCTGCCATGCATGAGGAACTGATTTGGATAACTGACAACCATAAGTGCCAAGCAAGGCAGTGCCGTCTCCATGGTTCTAGTGCTTGGGGACTGGGACGGGGCAGAGCATAGACAGAGAGATCCCTGCAGCTCGTTAGCCAGCCAGTCTAACTGAATCTGAGTTCCAGGTTCAGTGAGAGAAAGGAAGTAGAGAGTGATCAAGGAATACACTCAGCATCAAGCTCTGGCACACCTACACACATCCACATGAACACGTACATACAGAAAGCACACAGAGTTATTAATATGGCAACCATATCTGTGTACCAGAAAGACCTCTAAAACTGAGAAGTAGATGTTCCAAAGCTATTGCTCTAAAACTTTGTTCCAGACTCTGCTCTGGGACCTTTTATATCTGACATCTTAATGGGTTTAATGTCATCTCGTGTCAGTCAGAGAAGCAGACATTGAGTATAAAATATTGTGGATTGCTCTGTGGCAAGAAGAAGCAGTTGGCATTGTGATAAAGAGGAGATGGTACATTTTGAGTTTAAGAGCTTGAAGCCACTTAAGATGGCTATCTCTAACTCACAGCATGGCGTAGTCATGGAAACCCACGCTGGCAACTCTGAGCCAGCAAGAGGACCAGTGTATTCACTGCCAAGTGCTGCTGTAAAGAGTTGTAGGTTTGTTGTGACAATCCTTTCAGAAAGCTTGAGAGGTTACTGGGCAGTCATCTAGAATGGGATAAGAGGGCTTGTTTCCCAATGTTGACAGATTAAATAAGACAATGTTAATAAGACAATGCAGAAAATATTTTACATCGGAGAAGACATTTATTCAGTAGAAGAGAACAAAATAGAAGTTGCATCCCTCTAACTCCGCAGTTCTCAACCTGTGGGTCACAATCCCTTTGTAGGTCACATATCAGATACCCTGCATATCAGATATTTACATTATGACTCATAACAGAAGCAAAATTACAGTTATGAAGCAGCAAGAAATCTTTTCTTTTATTCTTCTCCCTTTTAGTACATGCCAACCACAGTTTCCCCTCCCTTCTCTCCTCCCAGTCCCTCCTCTTCACCCCTCCTCTCCCCCATATCCGCTTCTCCTCAACGAGATAATTTTATGGTTGGGGATCACCATCACATGAAGGTCTGTGTTACACGCTCGCAGCATTGGGAAGGTTGAGAACCACTGCTCTAAAGAAAATGAATCTCACTTAGTACTGTTCATTTCATAGTAGGCACAGGTCCCGCTCTTAAATGGCTTCCTGCTTAGTAACATTTATAGGCAAATAAATAAATAATAATATTATAGTGTGATAAGTTTGGAAAAAATTAAGGGCAAATACTCCCTAAGAGGGTCACCTGACAGTTATTTTTTATTTGAGGGGAGGGAAACAGTGCCCTGGAAACTTCCTTGGATGTGAACTATTCTATTGAAGATTGAGGAATAAGTAAAGAATAGGAAACGTTCAGACAAAGCTGGAGAGAGGTGGAATGGGATGTTGACCTATTATTAGGTATTAGATGAAAAGCACCAAATACGGGACAGTGAGATGCCTGTTTCAGAGCTAGTTATCCCCATGGACATTTTGAACATTAGCTTTGCGGCTGTGCAGGCTTCGCTTTCCTAAGGGAGATGCAGCACATGCAGAATGTGACGTAGAATGTGTGTACTCTCTCAAAGGCAATCGCTAGAGGCAGCAAGTGCCTAAAGATTTGAATGGGCATGGGAGACAAGAGGGAAAAGACCCTGGAAGGCTCTTCAACTACTTTCCACCACTGTCCTTAACCTCAAACAGTATTTCCATTTGTAGATCCATCTGCTAAAGGACTTTCAACACTGGAAATGCCACGGGAATCTTCATCTGCCCCTACATTAGAAGCAGGTGCACCTGAAACAGGCAGCCACTCATCAATATCAAGTAAGTGTTTCTCAGTGATGGTTTCTGTGGAATATGGCCTATATGTATTACTTTCCATTTTGACAACCCTCCTACTTTAAAAAATGTTGCAATAGCTTCCTCAGTGATACAGTGTTGTGCACTCTATGAAACTCTTGAGGGTAACATGGCCTGCTTTAGTCCATACCTCAAATGTTGGATTAATAATATGGTCACGGATTGTCCAAGAACCCTAACTTATTAAAGATTAAGTGCCAAGTTTCATCATTCAACAAAATCAACATCACTAACAGCCTGGCCATGTGACACAGGCAAAGCTTTGTTCATGGAAAACTCTTACTTGGGACTCATTGGTTGAAAGTGAGTCACTTTTCACCATGAACACAGCTTTATCTGGGTTATTCTAAAATAAATGTATCAGGACCCCATAGGTGCAACTAAATCTGCTCCTTTTAGTCTGATGAATAAAAATGGCCTAACACATTACAAAGTAAACACCAGGTATTTTGAAACTTCACCCTGCTATTGGGTGCTAGGTTTTGACCACAAGAAACCTGAGTTCCATTGCTGTTCCATCAAGGTGTCTACCCAGCTCAGTGGTGTCAGGAGATTTTCAGCAAAGAGAAAAATCTTGGAAGGAATCAGTGGCCCAGACAGAAGTGTACTTTCTAGAAATCTTTCATGTCTTGATAAATTTCTGTTCCATATGGATGCTGCCTGGAGAGCTAGTGAGACTTCATGGACTATCTTTTGAAAGAGGATGGTCTGAAAAGCCAAATATATATATTAATGCAAATGCTGATCTGATTCTATGGAAAATAATCATTGTCACCATTTATTCATTTGTGCATTCTTTCATTCATTATTCATTCATTATCCCATGTGTATCTGGTAGGGGTCAGGTATTGTGCTTGTCATTGGGGTTCAAAGGGAATAAATAGGTTCTCCCTCTTCCCCAAGAAGAGTGCAGTCTTGATGATGATCCTAGAAAGCATTTGTTTGATTCTCCTCCAGTATTGACACCATGATGAATGGCTCATTCACAGCATCATCTAGATCCATTCCATCCGTAAGCACTGCATGGCAGACTGAGGAGAAAGGCTGAATGTCTTGTCTAAAGTCACAGAGATAGAAATGGATGCTTAGATTTACTAGATTTTCAAGTCGATATTATTTTTAGTATTCCGCACAGTCTTTGAATAATTCTAAATCAATTATAAGACCGTACAAGTTTTAAGAAATAGTTTCCAAGTTGCAGATGTTTTGCCTTTGGTTGCAGAAGAGAATGGCTAGTTCTAAAGCTAAATATTTTATTTATTTTTTAACATGAGTAATATTTGATAATGACAAATCACAACACAATATTTTCTCTTTTTTATACATGAGTAATCTTTAAAAACAAAAAGACACTGAATCCCCCCTTAGAACTCTAAGTAGTATGATTTGAAATGGCCAGAATGGTTAAATAGCTGTAATTTCAGTGTGTATAGAAGGTCAGGATCCCATAGTCATGACTGAGTCTAGCCTTTTGGGGGTGAGTTTGGCATATTAGCCCTTGTCATGAAAAGCATCATCATAGGATTTGGTGGTGTGCTCTTGGAGGCATAATGCCAGAAACCTTATCCACTGGGGTTTTTGCTCTCGGTTGAGAGACTGGTAATATAAGTCAGTGATAGAGCCCTTGCCTAGCATGTGTGAGGCTCTGGGTTCCAACCTCAGTACTGCAAACCCCAAAAAAACTAAGAATTGGGGAAATTATCTCAACACTAGAGGCTCTACATCCTTATTTGATTGAATCTGCGAGATTCCACTTATTTTTTAATTTTTAAAAATCCTTTAAAAGATTTCTGTTTGTAGCTAGGGGTACAGTTCAGTCAGAAGCTGGCTTGCCTAACATGTGCAGGGCCTTGGGTTCAAAACCCAGCATATTTCTGCTTTTGAATTTTCCTTAAAGCTTTACTTTTCAAGTGAATTGGAAACTGGTAAAGTTAGTCCATCAATAAATCAATGATTTTTACTATTCAGTCAGCTATTTCCACAAATTTAGTAAATATGGGCTCCAAGACACACGAATTCCACCACATTTCTTTCTTGCTCAAGTTGCAAGTTGTTTTGTAACTAAACATGCCATGACCACCATAAATCAAATAGCGTGCTGCCAACACCAGATAATGATTTCATTTCACACCTGGTCGCTGCCTCTTTAGTGACTGCAGAAACCTATGCATAGCATTCATAGCTGTCCCTGGGCTATTTTGTGGACATCCTGGTCTCTGCCTTCCTTTCTAGAGTGTGCAAGTTCTTCAGCTTTGGCTTCCGAACTTGCCCTTTCAAGTGAGTCCGGTGGGGGATCCCACATTGTCAGCATCTGAGTGCTTGGGGTCAGGCTGACAGCCATCTTGGAGAGATTGAGCACTCACATTGGGCTGGTTAAAGGCATTGAGTGTCTCATGGGGGGAAATGGGGAGCAGGAGCAAAGGCGAGGGTGTCTTTTTAAGTTAGCTCACAATGGACAGTGTGCTTTTCATTGTCTCGGGTTTGGGAAAGCTTAGAACTTTTCATATCAGAGCTTAATTGCAGAACAAAAATGTTACCATTGTTTTCTCAAACAAAGAGTATACTCATGGAATGCTATTTAATTCACATTTTCCAAATACTACACAGGGGGCTCAAATAGCTGGCAAACAGTGCAGAGTTTTAAATCAATGCTTCGACTTGCCTCAGTTGCTTTTGATTCAATTCAAGGTGGCAGTGTTGGTTTTGAGTTCTTTTTAGAGTGTGGTAAAGAACATAAGTAAAAAAGCTAACACAGTAAGCATATTGCATTCATGGGTAACTGAGTAATATGTGTAGTTAGTAGATCAACGCTGAAGACCACTACTATTGCCTGTACCACAGAGACGCCGGAAATGATGGAAGGCTTGAGTTTTTCACTTGATTAGGAGCATATAATTTACCAAAAATATTACAAATAGCAAATGAAGAACTCAACTAAGATCTGTGTGGATGTATAGAGCCTGTGTGTGCGACGGGAAACATATTCCCCCTAGTAATCATCTCCTAATTTCCTTCGTATAGCTCAGTATAGGCAGATGAAAAGGGGATCCCTGGGAGTTCTGACAATGAGCCAGTTAATGAAGCGACAGCTGGAGCATCAGTCTAGCGCCCCCCATAACATCAGCAACTGGGACACTGGTGGGTCAAGCCTTTTCTTCTCGTTTGCCTCTCAGATTAGCTAATGCCACTTTCTCTGTGTCCACTTCTTGTGTTCTTTGGTTAAAACAGTTTTTAAAATAACCTGGAAGTAATGAACATATACTCAGATTTTCTAAGTGCTCTAGAGCGTTGTGGTCTATGTCTAGGCTGACCCTTGTCTAGGCTGGTCTCTGTTTAGACTGGTCCCTGTTTAGGCGTGTCCAGCTCTTTAATTCTTTAAGATCCAGATTATCTGCCTGGGGAGGAGGGGTGGAGCTATGATTTCATGGTACAAAGTTTTAAAAGCACCAGGTTATCAATGTCCTCTTTCATAAATTGTAGGGTACTGAAGTTAGTGACGATTTAATAACAAATGTCAGCTTGGGGATGGCACGATCTGCAAGTTTGGGAATGAGTTGTACATTTTAACCAGTAGGATTGCCAGATTGCAGTCACTCACCCTCATGTTCATAAGTCAGAACTGCACCTAACCTGTTGTAAGACTGACTGCCGTGACTACTTTAAATATGACCGCTTTGCATTCTCCGAACCTTACCACATCTTCTGCATAGGCTGCCTTCTCAGCTCATAGCACTGCAATGATTTCCCCCTTTAAGTATTTGCCTTTGCCTTTGCCTTTTTTCTTCTTAAATTAATGGGTCACCTGAGGTACAAGATTATAAACATAAGAGCACCTTGAAGTGTGCATACAGTGTGAAAATATAAGGGCTGATTATCACAACATGCTGAGGGAGTGCACTTTAGCATCTTGGTTATGATTTTCTGGCTTCAATTCTGAGATTATTTTTAATCTCTTCATTACGAAGCAGAATCGCAGGGTGCACTCAACCAACATCTTGGGCTGTTTTCAAATTGTGTGTATGTCCTCCTACTTACCTTTGTTGTTCTTCAAGAAGAGATCCACGTACCACAGCCAACATACACAGCTTCAGTCTCCAGGACTTAGAAGCGTATTTGGCATGCCAAAGGCTTGGTGCTTTCACTTAGTGGCTCCAGGGAGTGAGCAAGGAGTGGCCAAGAGGCAACACACAAGACAGAGTGGGAAAAGACGCTGCTTGGCCCCACCCCCCTCCCCGGACTACTTGGTCTGAGCGTTGTCTCCCTTCTCTAACTGCACCATGGAGGACTGTGCCTCCCTCTCCAGAGATGAGGCTGTGTAGCCTGAGAAGCACATCTTGGTTTGGCACTAAGTGCTCGTGTTGACTTGGGGGCCCCCGAAAGTCATTTCACCATGCTGGTGTAGCTCAACCTCAGCTACTGTAGATTCGGACTACAACTGCATCCTAATTTGATTAAGTAGAGTTACAAAATGTAAATTGACCCCAATTTCTGATCTGAACTTTAAGCCACAAAACTCTTCATGATGCCAAATAACCCATTTAGCCACATGTTTCACTTTTCAGCCAGACTCACTGTTTCCACTTTTCTTGAAATTCCAAGTTGTCCGGGTTTCTTTCACTGAAGCTTTCCAGGGCTTATTTTATTTACTTACTTTTTAATTTTCCACCCTCCAACTTGGTTCACTTATCTCCCAGTCCCTTAATAAAAGCTTTATCTCACTATTCTCAAATTTGTTTTGTTTTGGACACAACATCTTTCTTTGCTACCCAGGCTGGTCTTGAATGTCTGGGATCAAGTGATCTTTTTGCATCAGCCTCTTAAGGTTGAGAAGATATTATACCTGACTTCAATATTCTCATGCTGACTGCCTGAGTCCAGCAGAAGAGTCTGTGACTGGGTAGTGTCATGTTAGGCGACTTGTCACTTTGAACCACACGCATTGATTCAGCGACTCTCTAGCTTCCACCAGGAACAACTATGGTCGTGTAGACACACTGAGACAGCTTAAACAGGATCATGATAAATTCACCTCAGCATTCGCCAGCTCGTTCATAGAAATCCCGCCTTCTGTGTGAATGAACATTCACTAAGTGTCACTCCATTCCTGCTCCCTATTCTTCTTCTCCATCTCTCAGCCAAATCTCTATCATTTCCTCTACCTGGTCCATGTGTTTCCTGTATGAACTGTCTGGCCATTACCCCAGAGTATCATTGATGTATTAGTTGACTTGCATAAAACATTCTTTCATGGTCATGGCATTGGCCCTTCATTTCATATCAGGAGACACAGGATTTTCACTCTTTTGAAATAGAGTGGGACTAGAGCTCAAAAAGATAATTTTAGATCCTCTACCATTTTAGATGCAGTTCATTTAACTGAGTGACAGGTTTGTAATAAAACCTTGAATAACCCTACCTATCCCCAGATTTAATCTTTGTTAATAAAATAACTGTGACAAAAATGGTCCCATGTGGTGGTTGGCTGCATTGGTTGTGCTGTGACTAGTATTGAACTGACCACACTGAAGACTGAAATACTTTCTTTATCCACAGAACAGGTACAGCCCGGGAAACGCCAGTGCAATGTGCCAATGTGCCTAAACCCCGACGTAGAGGGACAGCCGCTGAGAACAAGAGGTTGGTTGGGTCCCAGGGTCTCAGGCTGTAGAACTGAAGGGTCATATGTCTCTCAGGGATCCACACAGCAGATGCAAAATCTCTTCCTCAACAGCTCCATATATCTCCAACCTGTAAACCCCTCCAGGGTTGGGAAATGTGTGACAGTTTGTCTTTGAATGTGACCAACAAGAGCTTGGCCATAGAGTGTCTTCCTAAAGCGCGAGGCCACATGAGATAATTCTAGCATCTATCACCTCACATTTTGGACATTTGAAAGTAACTGCCCATTTCTTATCCCTTTTAGCTGTTTCTAGACCAGGAATCCCTGGGTTCTTCAGCATTCCTTCCAAGATGTATCAGTTTTCCATGTCACCCTATATTCGTTTCCTGAGCAGCAGAGTTTGGATTGTCTTTATCTTTTACTAGAATGTTGGGAGTGTGAAAAAACAGCTTCTTTCCCAGCCATCTTGAATTATGTATTGAAAATACATACTTTATTCTGGTCGTGGGGGCAAATGAGCATGCATTCTACACTAAGATCATCGGAATTATTCTTTTCAAAATTCATCTCAGGCATTTAACTACATTTTTAGTTAATCCTTAGCTTTGTTATTAAAATTCAGAAGGCTGTTTACAAAAAAGAAAGAAAGAAGGAAGGAAAGAAGGAAGGAAGGAAGGAAGGAAGGAAGAAAAAATTCTGACAACATCTTCTAAGTAGTCTAGGCTAAACCACTCTTCTATTTTTCTGCAGCATGGGGAGATATGTGTCCAGGAAGCTCCTGGACACTGCTTTGGTGATGGGCAGTATCCTAGCCCTCAGCAGATGAGATGAGACTCATCTGTGGGGCTGAGAAATGCTTTGGTGAGTCAGGTTAGTTGAAAGAAATCTTTGGCTCTTGGTTATGATCTAAGTGACCTGTAAAAAGCAGTGTGAAGTAAAGGTGAAGCATAAAGGTGACACCCAGTCTTCCAGTCTCTCTGTCACGGCGAGTGGGAGAATCCGTGGTGCAGCGGATGTGTGCTTTGAGACAAGTGGATTCACAGAGTCTCTTCTGTCTCTGAGATCCGGAAGGGATCAGCATCTCCAGCTTCAAAGTTGGTCTTTGGTCTGTATTCAAGTTCTGAGAACTCTCTGTTCCAGTTCTGGATGGAGGCACTCTGGATATTACACAGTGGTGGTGGGCTCAGAATTATTGCCACGAGGTGGGGGGACAAAAATGGAGGGTAAGTTTAACACTGCCAACTTAGTTGTTGCTCATTTACAACGAAAGGTTGCTGAGGTTTGTGGCTTTCTTTTTATATTTTTCAACTTCTCATACATTGCTCCCTGTTTCCACTTCAGTAGCAGGATTTAGCAATCCATTATTCAGCTAATGTTGTCCTATAAGAACCAATGCCCTATTTTCTTTGATCGATGACTGCCATAAATATTGCAACATACTTTCTGTGTTGTCACCTCCCCTTAGGTAATGCTTGTTTGGAAGCCACAAAAGTGACAATCCTTCTCATCTCTTTGGTTGCAATCTTGACTTGGAGTTGTTCCTACTGAGATTGTGGACACATTACCATATACTTTTGGACTGATTTTTTCTGCTCTGCCATAGTCATTTTTGCATTTGGCTAGTATGCCTCTCAATGATCAGAAGTGTGGAGAATTGGTTTTAAGCTTTGTGCTTTTTTTGCTGACTCTACCATCAGTCTGCTTACGCCGTGACACCATGCAACATGTTTACAGACATCCTTTGTTAAGGGCACACTTAGATATCCCTGGGAAGGAATGCTAGCTCACAAAGAGCCGATAGATGGGTAGCAAGATTTGTATTCCCAACTGGTATCTTAGGAAGGTGAAGATAGTGTTAGGCAGCTGGCACTTGTGTTTGTGGGTCTTTGCTTCTCTGGCACAGGCTCTGGGGGAGGTGGTCTCAGCGTGGAGGGGAGAACTTCAACACCATTTCCCCCTCAGAGCGCAGCATTGCCCTCCAGGCTAGGCATCTAAGACTTGTACTCTGTATCTTCAGTGACCATTCTCTCAACTGTGATTCTTTCTGAGGAGAAATCATGCATTTTTTTTTCTGGACTAAGTTATGTGTCTCTTGATGAGAAATGAATTATTTAATGAGCATCGTTTCCTTCTGCTTTTTTTGGTCTGCTTGAAGAACTCAGATTAGCAATTGCTACTCAGCAGAGCCTGCTGTTATTTCACATTGTCACTTTGGGAGTCCTCTTAGATGCCTTGTTTACACAGTTCCAGGGGATCCGCCTTGCACTGGTGGCTTTTTTAATGGAGAACACCCTCCTGACTCTCCACATTGTGTTTTGAGATTTATAGTGTGTGTGTGTGTGTGTGTGTGTGTGTGTGTGTGTGTGTGTGTGTGTGTGTGTGTGTGCGCGCGCGCCTGTCAGGCCCCTGGAGCTGCAATCACAGGCAGGTGTGAGCTGCCTTGACATGGACACTGGGAACCGAACGTGGGTCTTCTGGAAGAGCAGAAGGCTCTCTTAACTGCCGAGCCATCTTTCCAGGCCCCACATTTACTGTCTCAATAGACAGCCACAGTTTGTTGCTCAGATTCTGGCCTCGGATTTCTTTGAAAGGATCTAACCTCAAACTTTTCTAACGGTTCTGTTGACTGGTGAAGCAGAGAGGCCATCGAGTAAAACAGCTACTGTTGTACTCTCACACAAGTCAGCTGAAAATGAAATCTTTTTGCTTTAGTGTTTATGATAATAATTGTCAAAGCAGAACACTAACTTCCTAGCCCAGTGCCCCCGTTGTTCATGTGTGTGAAGTCTGGGGTCTCTCTAACCCGTTGTTCATGTGTATGAAGTCTGGGGTCTCTCTGCCTCCCCGGTTTGTTCATGTGTGTGAATTCTGGGATCTCTCTGCTTCTCCCCTTTGTTCATGTGTGTGAAGTCTGTTGTTTCACACACACCCTTGTTCATGTGTGTGAGTGTGGGGTCTCATTGCCTCCCACTTATTTAGGCACGACATTTGGGGTCTTACTTCCTTCTTACAGTACCCCCCCTTTAATGAAATGCACTTGTGCATTAGAATTGTCCTATTGTTCAGACAATTTCATTTAAGGCTAGGAAGTTCATCGTTATGGTAGACCTTGTTGGTCAGCAGAACATTCTGACTTTTTTTAAAGTCGTGAAGCAAGAGAGAGGTAGGGCAACCGGTTCTTTCTTGGCCTTACTCCATTATCAGGCCTTTTTCTTGCCATGGGTGGGATGATGAGGTCACAGTCGCGTGAATGTGATCTTTCGAGAGTTAATGAATGCATGATGGAGAATTTCCTAGCCCCAGAAGCTTGTCTGTTTTCATGCTCATCTCTCTGCTGCTTATCCAGGCGCCACTAAATCCAGCCTGCTGTCAGCCCCCAGCATAGCCAGTATGTTTGTGCCTGCACCTGAAGAATTCACGGAAGAGCAGCCAACGGTGATGACGGACAAGTAAGCTCCCGTTTTTTGTTTGTTTGTTTGTTTGTTTTTTCATTTGCTTTGGTTTTAGAATTAGAGTTTGGTCCCCAGGTGAGGAAATGCTCTTTGCTTTGGAGCCACACTTTACTTTTCAAAGGTCTGAAGCTGTGTTGTACACAGTCAGAAGTGAGCTGATGGCTCTTAGGGTTTCTACTGCTGTGATTAAACACTATGACCAAGCCTGGCATTGGTGGCACACACCTTTAATCCCAGCACTCAGGAGGCAGAGGCAGGTGGATCTTTGTGAGTTTGAGACCAGCCTGGTCTACAAGAGCTAGTTCCAGGACAGCCTCCAAAGCCACAGAGAAACCCTGTGTTGAAAAAACAAAACAAAACAAAACACCACAACCGAAAATAAACAATATGACCAAAAGCAAAGTTATCTTACAACTTGTAGTCCATCATCTAGGGAAGTCAAGGCAGAAACCTGGAGGCAGGCAGGAACTGATGCAGAGGCCATGGAGGAATGCTGCTTACTGGCTTGTTCCCCCTTTACTGTCTCAGCTTCCTTTTTTACATGCCCCTGAATCACCTGCCCAGGGCTGGCATTGCCCACAGTGAGCTGGGCCCTCCCATGCCAATCATCGATCAAGAAAATGCCGTACAGACTTGCCCACATACTGAGCCTTGAGAGGCATTTTCTCAGTTAAAATCCCTTCTTCTCAGATAACCCTAGCTTGTATCAGTTGATATAGAAATTAGCCGGCACAGTGGCCATTCTTGAGAAGCAAGTGGACCTGGCTTGTACAATTGCCTTGGAATATCCCCAGAGCTTGGATACAATTTCTCCATTTTGTGTCATAACCCACCCCTTTCAAGTTACCATTTTTCTTAGTTGCTTCTGGTTGCTCGTGTGTGTGTGTGTGTGTGTGTGTGTGTGTGTGTGTGTGTGTGTGTGTGTGTTCCAGTGCACATGCGTTTGTGTGAGCATGTGTGGAAGCCAGAGGTCAGCCTCAGCTGCACTTCCTTGGGAGCCATTCACCTCGTTGTTTGAAACAAAACCTCCCATTAGCCTTGGACTCATCAAGGAGGCTGGGCAGCTGGCAGGTCAGCCCCAGAGATCCTGCTGTCTCTGCTTCCCTAGTGCTGGGATTGCAAGCACTCACCCTCAGACCCAGCTTCATTACTTGGGTACTGGGATTCGACCTCGGGTCCTCATGTGTGCGCTGCAAGCGCTTTGTCCACTGAGCCACCATTAGCCCTTTGACTGCTTTTGTGTGCTCTGTGTCTGCCTCTCGACTTCCAAATGTGAATTTTAAATGTGAATTAATTCTTAAGGCACTCTCTCCATTTGTCTACGTTTGGGAGCATTGCAGATGGAAAGGGTGCAGCAGCTGTGGCCTGGGTTCCGGAGTTGCTTTTAGTTCTCAACTTCGCTTTATAAAGCCGCCTTTGGTTGGGTGGAGTGAACCTATATTAGGACGCAGCAAAGAGCAATCAGTTATGGGCGTCTTAAGAGCAGTGCCAATGCTCTTCCATATCAGTTTAGTATGTTGTCCCAACAAGGCTGGTGTGAGGTTGGGAGCAGCAGAGAGGAGGCTTAGGCCAGGTCCACAGACTTTCCGGAGTGTCCGGGTCCTTTGAGTCCTCTGTCCCTTGTCCGCAGAGTGACATCTATTGAAAGCTTCCAGCCATGTCCAGGCATTTTTCATTTTGACAAGTGAAAATTAATCTAGTTACTGCAGTCCCCCCTTTCTTTCTTGGTGCTATCTGTGAGGTGGCTGCCTCCTTCTGCATGGCTGCCCTCAGACATCTGATAAAGCCCAAATCACCAAATAGGGGACCCTGAAGGTCTTCCTGTCCCAGTCAGAACACTATGTCCAAGTTCGATGCATCTGGTAGGAATGCACAGGTACTGACAGCAGGGTGTGAGGAGATTCAGGCCAGAGCCCAATGCCCAACGTCTGTATGGGACAACAAGAAAACTGGGCACATGCCACCCAGTGACTTCCAGAAGCTCCTGGTCCACAGCATCAAGGATCTGGTATGAGCAACTCTGACTGTGTGAGATTACTCACAGCGTTACCTCCGGGAGCTCAAAACCATCATGGAAACAGCAGCACAGCTGGCCGCCAGAGCCACCAAACATTGCCAAGCTATACAACAAAGAAAAACAAGTAGACGGCTCACACGCACATTGTATGAAACCGTAAAAACTCATCCAAAGATCCACTTACTGACTGTTCTTAGACATAATTTCACTAGAAGCTGTTAGTCTACCCCCAGCTCTTTGTAAAGGAGCAGAAACCCCGTGGGACCAGATGCTTGTGGACAGAATGGTGAAGGAGCATTCATGACCTCTGACACCCCAAGGTCTCCCCATGTCTTATGGTGACAGTGGCACTGGCGTCTTCACTTAGAGTGGGCCCAGTTACCACCATGTAGGATCTTTCCCAAGACTTCTGACAAAGGGCTGTATTTGTGTGTTAGCTCAAACCTTGGTTGGCTTTCTAACATGTCTTCCCTGTGTTTCCTTTGCAGATGCCATGACTGTGGGGCCATTCTCGAAGAATACGATGAAGAAACCCTGGGGCTGGCCATTGTGGTCCTCTCCACATTCATTCATCTAAGCCCAGACTTGGCGGCCCCACTGTTGCTTGATATCATGCAGTCTGTGGGAAGGTGAACATTACTTTCTATTTCATCTGCTAGGAAGCAGCCTTACCTAAAACTGTATCAGTTTGAAAGTGAAACATCCAGTCACCTTGCAGATGCCGGTACCCGGGGAATCATTCAGAATAGTTTTTAAAAATGGACGGAAGCATCTTTCGGTTTCATTTCTCAGCTGCACCAGGTCATGAGTCAAGGTCAGAGTGAAGCTAGAGGAGACTGCACTGAGGGAGTCTGGCTGTGTGAGCTAATGTGTGTGATAGTATTCGGATGGTCCGTCCATAGTAGGCTTTGTGTTAACCATTATGACGACAATAGTGTTCTCTCTTGACATGGTTTGCGGTGACCTGACACCTCTTTTGTGATCTCAAGGGAGCCTCACTTAACTGTTAAGTTTAGGGCATCAATGTCTGTCACACATCATCTTCACCATTCTGGCTCAGATAAAGGAAGTGTTGTTTGGGGGACAGGATCGTCAGTCCGAGTGTTAATATGCAGGGAATTCCCTTTCTGTAGAGACATTAGAAGAGGAATGTGTTTTGTGCTCATACCTAAAGTCTAGCTCAGTCATAACTGTGCAGCTCACAGAGACTGAGTTCAAAACTGCACGAACTTGCTATTTCTGATCTCTGCCAGCACGATGCTAGGTGCCTTAAGACCTAGCCCCTGGGGCTGGAGAGGTGGCCCAGCAGTAAAGAGCACTGGTTGCTCTTTCAGAGGACCCGGGTTCAATTCCCGGCACCCACATGGTGACTCACAACTGTTTCTTAACTCTAGCCCCAGGGGATCTGATGCTCTTTTCTGGTCTCTGCTGCACACACACAGTAAGCAGACAGATATGCAATAATAACATCTATACACATAAAATAAAATTGAAGATTAACCATATTATAAAAAAGATCTTGAGCCTATGTTCAGACGATTTGTAGAGCTTTTGTTTGTCCCCCCCACCTTTTTTAAAGAGAGGGTCTTGCTATGTAGCCTAGCTTAACCTTGACCTTGCTAGGTAGCCACAGTTGGCTTTGACCTTGTGATTGTCCAGCCTCAGCCTCCTGAGTCACTGGATTATAGGCATGTGCCACCATACCTGTTTGTGGCTTGGTTGTTGAAAGGAACAGTTTTGTGTGAGATTGTTGGGTGGCCATACCAGACAGGACTTGGTTAAGCTCTTCAAGAAGCCGGGAGTGGAACTGTTTCCCACTGTTTGGAAGATAAGGAATTTTCAGATACTTGGGATTTCAGGGAGGGAAAGACAAGATTTTTGGTTTGTGGTTTGTTTTTGTTTTGTTGTTATCTTTTGTTTTGATTCTGATATAGGGTTCCACTATGTAGCCTAGTCTGGCCTCTTACAGGGTTTCCTTCTGTATCCTAAGTTGCCTCAACCAACAATCCTCCTGCCTCCGAAGTGCTGGGATTGTGGGCATGTGCCACAACACCTACTGAGAATGAGCCTTAACATAGCTAAACTTAGCTGTAAGAACAATAAGAACAGGGGCTTTGGAGAGGGCTCAGTGGGTAAGATACTTGCTGTTTAAGCGTGTGTGCCTGGGTTCAAATTCCAGCACCCATATAATAAGCCAGGCATGCACCGGCGAGTGTCTGTAACCCCAGTGCTGCTGGAGGCTGAGGTAGGAGGCTCACTGGGGTCTTCTGGCCAGTGGAGCTCCAGGTTTAGCGAGGGACCCTGTCTCCAGGAAAGAAGGTAGAGGGAGGTAGAGCAGGGTCCTGGCAACCTCCTCTGGCCTCTGTGCACACCATCTGCACTATGTATGTATACAATATGATATATATCATGTGCACTCATATGCATACGCAGTAGTAGTAGTAATTTGGATATCAAGTTAAATAGGCCAACATTAAAAACTTGATCACAAAAATATATAATCCTGATATTTGCTCCCTACCCTGATTCATGCATATAATATGGTGTGGTATGTGTGTATATGGTATATGTGTGATACATGTGAGTGTAGTATGGTGTGTTGTATATGTGTATGGTATGTGTGTGGTGCATATGAGTGTAGTATGGTATGGTAAATGTGTGTATGGTATGTGTGGTGTGTGTGTGTGAGTATAGTATGGTGTGGTATATGTGTGTGTGGTGTGTGTATGGTATATGTGAGTGTAGTAAGGTATGGTGTGTGTATGGTGTATGCGAGTGTAGTAAGGTATGGTGTGTGTATGATATATGTGAGTGTAGTAAGGTATGGTATGTGTGGTGTGTGTGAGTGTAGTATGGTATGGTATATGTGTGTGTGGTATGTGTATTGTGTGTGTGAGTATGTGGGCATACCTATTTGCATATGCAGAAGCCAGAGGACTTCAGGTGTCTTGCTTATAACTCTCCTCCTTGTTCCTTTGAGACAGGATCTCTCCTTGAACTAGAAGTTTTCTGATTATGCTTGGCTGACTGACAATGAGTTTCCAGATTCTGAGTGTCTCCACTTCCCAGTGTTGGGATTACAAACGTATACAAACATTCCCAGCTTTTTAACACGAGTGCTGGGGAATTGAACTCAGGTCCTCATGCTTGCACAAGTGCTCTTACCCACTGAGCTATCTCCCCAGCCAGACCTCCCAGATTATTTTTGGAATATCTTTAGAGTTACATAGTTAGAGACAGCATAAAGTTAAGTGTAACCAAAATTCAAAAGCCACTGTAAAAAGTACATGATGAACGAGGGACCCGGAAGAGATAAGGAAAAGATAGCTTTATTCGAGCCATTAATTTTAACCCAGTCTTGATAATTATAGAATAAATGCTGTGTGTTCTCTCTCTGTCACTTGTGGAGTTGGAGGTTTTTATTAAGGCATGACCACAGTTCCTACTGTCACTACTTTGTGGTTTTAGAGCAGGTAGAATTGTGGTTCTGCTCTGTTGCTATCTTGGCACAGCTGATTTAAGCCACAGAGGACAGAGAGAGGAGATTGTGTTGCTTAACATAAAAGTGTCTATAATCTGTGTCCTGATTACTGTCAACTGTTAGGGTAGGAACATGAGCTTTGAGGGAAAACATGGAAAGCCAATAACACTTAAGTTCACAAACTTCCATATGCAGACACATAAATACCTACTGTCTTACACTTGACTGTCTAGCTTTCTTGGGTAGACTAGCAAGAGACTGAAAAACATTTAGTACAAATTACTGTACTCTTGGTAACCCACTCTTGACCATCAAGCTGCCAAGATTTCTTCACATACCCCAGTTTCACCATGAAGAACACAAGATAGGAGATAATGTGGCTTCAGCAACACTGCCAGGGATGACTACACCGACCACTCTCTGGGCGTTCTAGGAGTCTGCAATCTCAACACAGCCCTTTCGTTTCACCCTCCAATGTTTCCCATCTCATAGAACTGTCTGCTTAGATTTCTTCCAAGCTTCACCCTTCTGATTTTCAGGAGAATCCTATAAGTTCATGTTTCCAAAACCCTTGATGATCGTTTAGTTGAGTTGCCCATGTTCCTTTCCTCATCGTAAAATCTTTAGCGTATATGGCCTAAATCCAAGGCAGCTGGGGAGAATATTGCCATAGCCTCTGTCCCTCTCTGAGGCTCTTGGTTCCTTCAGCTGTCCTATTAAAATGGAAAGTTTATAGCATTCTCCTGGTGTCTTCACTGTCTCCTAGATTATAGTATGTTCTTTTGAACCCACCAATTTGGTTCATTCTCTGTCACGAGAGAATATATGTTCATGTCTATGGAGCCGCACTATAGTTTTTCAAAATGTCGGTGTTGGTTATTTAATTCATAGTTTTCATCTCTGAAAGTCAGACTTTCCTTTTCATCACTCCTACACAACAGCAAGCTAAGGATGTCTCTTCGGTCTGTTCTGTTGTGGGGGAGGGCTTTAGAATGTGTGGTTCAATTGCAGTCAGGTTTCAAAGGTCAGTGGCAGAGAAATGAATTTGAGTTAATGCAGGGATCACTAGGTGACAGGTTCTGGTGTCTGTCCAGCTGGGCTACAACTGCCATTTGTTAGAGAGGGGGCAGTAAACTCTTTCACCTGTTTCCCTTCCTCTGTGACTGACAGAGAAGACAGGTTTGGGAGCCTGGGTTTAAGTTTAACCCTGGACATGACCACTGAGTGGACCCTCTGCTGCCCATCAAAGGAGTTGTCAGTAGCTATGTTCTCACCATCCAAACCTGCACTACAGGCCTAACTCAACGTTAATGCATTTCACCCTGGAAAACTACGATTCTTGTGTGACTGTTTACTTTACTTCCTAGGCTCGCATCCAGCACTACCTTTTCCAATCAAGCAGAAAGGTAAGAGCTTCAAGTGGGTCTATTCTCTTTGCTCTCTGTGCATGTCCACGTGGTTCTGACGGTGTCCATGGATGGGTGCTCTTCAAGAAGACAGCTGCTATTCCACCACAGCCCTACTAGTTTCTGATTGGATTTGTGCATTTACTCATTCGCTCATTTTAGTCAACAAGTACTTGTACTAGTTAAATGTTTTGGTTTATTGATTTGTTTGTTTTTTATTTATTTATATTTTGTGTATGAGTGCTCTATCTGCATGTATACCTGCATTTCCGAAGAGGGCATCAGATCTTATTATGGATAGTTGTGATTCACAATGTGGGTACTAAGAAGTGGATTCAGGACCTCTGGAAGAGCATTAAGTGCTCTTAACAGCTGAGCCATCTCTCCAGCCTGGTTAAGTGGGGTTTTTGTTGTGGTTGTTAGTTTTTGTTGTGTGTTGTGTTGTGAGTCTAACTGAGGGCCTCAAGCATTCTCGGAAAATGTTCTATGGCTTCAGCTCTTTAAAGGAAACAGCTGGTATGACTCCTGACCTTGTTAGTCTCTCTCTCTTACCAAGGCGGCAAACATGATGGGTATTCACAAAAGTGTGGTGGTAACTGTGCTAAGTGCTGTGAAGGAAATGGACTCACATAATGTTGATTCATTATGCGTTGATTCATCTGCGTGTGTAGAGAGTGTGGAGGTCAAGGTCAATATCAAGGGCCTTCCTCAACACTCTCCACCTTCTCTTTTGAGACAGGGTCTCTCATTGAGCCCAGCCCTCACCAGTTGCCTAATGGTTAGCCAGTGAGTTCAAGGGACCCTCCTGTCTACTTCCTGTCCTGCACTGTTATAGACCCTTCAGTGGCTATCTATGGAGTTAATGCCCGATGCTGGCATCAGGGATTAAATGTCACACCCTGGTTTTCATGAAATTTACATTCAAGTTGAAGAAGCAGAAAACAAGTTAACCAGTAAGAAATTGACAATGTAACTGAATACCTCTTACTGTGATGTGTTACAAACATTAATTAATTCCTGGTGGTAGATGAGGCCCGGGAGTAGTATTGTAGACAAATGGCCAAGGACAGTCTCTTGGAGGCAGTGCTGCTGTTCCAGAGGACCTGCCTTTGTGTCTCGGTGCCCATGTTAGTCAGCTCACAACTGCTTGTAACGCCAGTTCTAGAGGATCCAATGTCCTTTGCTGACCTCTGAGGGCATCTGAACACTGTGTTTATACTCACACATAGACACATAAGTAAAAATAAATATTAAATGAGGGCTATGCTATTTCTCTTACATAAGATGGCTATATTATTTTATGTTCCCGCCATCAGTGAGACTTCAGAACGTCCCACATCCTTGCCAGATTGTGACATTGTTGGTATTTTTAACTGTAGCAGATGGGGTCGATATGTGGTGGCTGTCTCTTTAGTAGTTTTAATTTGCATCTTCTGATGATATTTTTTCAAGTGTTCATTGATTTTTATATATTCTTTCCTGAAGTGTCTATTTAAATAATCTTTTCCATCTTTTTAATCATGCTGTTTTCTTTTTATTCTGTAGTTATAGAACTTCTTTGTATAAATATGTTTTAAGAATATCTTTACCCTCACTGGGCTTACTCATTCAGTTTCTTGATACTATAATATGCTGACAAGTTTTTAATTTGGATGAACTCTAATTTATTCGAGCTTCAAAGTGTGTGTAGTTATGGACTTTTATCATTTAGCTAAGAAAACTTGTCTGCTTCCAACTCATTCTTATTCTCTACTGTTTTCTCCCAGGCCCTTCGTGACTTTAGCGTTTAGATTTAGCACTTAACCAGATCCAGCAAAATTAATTTTTATATATACTGTTGGGTTGTGGCAGTGACATTCTTTTTATTCATGTCAAATATCCTGCTGTTTCAGCACCTTCCTGTTTTAAAGGCTTCTTTCCTCATTGGCCCACTGGGATAAACTCCCAAGTACCATCAAGAAGCTTCTAAGTGGCATCCAAGTAGCTTGTGTTTGGACTTCCCACCTGGTTCCTTTAGTTTATGCTGATCCTCAGTCTAGTGCAGTGGTTTCAACCTTCCTAATGCTGTGACCCTTTAATACAGTGCCTCATGTTGTGGTAACCCCAACTATCCAATTATTCCATTGCTGCTTCATAACTAATATAATTTTGCTAGTGTTATGAATTGTAATGAATATCTGATATTCTGGATATTTGATATTCGACTTCCAAAGGGGTCACAACCTTCAGGCTGAGAACCAATGATCTAGTGCCACATAGTCCGAATTACAGTGGTGAGCCCTGGTGTCAGGTAGCAGGGGTCCTCTTCCTTGATCTCTTTTTTTTCTTTAAGATTTGTTTGGATCTCTAGACTTTTAAATTTCCAAATTAGTTCCTCTTTTCTTCTGTTTTGCTCTTTTAGGACAGCCTCCTCCTTCTGTCTCCCCAGTGCTGAGATGTCACCTGTCAGAACCACACCACACCCACACCACGCCCACACCACACCCACACCACACCCACACCACGCCCACACCCAAGTGTTGCCTTGTTTAGACAAAATGCTTACTGAAATTGAGAGTGTACATCAGTTTGGGAATTACTCATAGAAAAATGCTGGATTGTCCAAACTCATGAACATGGTATATATCTCCATTTCATTACGTTTCAAATTACTCTCAGCTATGTTTTTGAAATGTGAGCATAGGTGTGTAGGCACACACGTGTAGAGGCCAGAAGCAACCTTGGGTGTCATCCTTAGAAATGCTATTCAGCTCCTTTGGGACAGGTCTCTTATTGGTCTAGAGCTCTCCAGTTAGGCTAGGCTGGCTGGTCAGTGAGCCCCTGTGATCCCCTGTAATCCCTGTGAGCCCCTGTGATCCCCTGTGAACCCCTGTCTTCACTTCCCCAGTGGTGGGATTCCAAGCGCACACTACCACACCTTCCCTTCACTTGTAAGGCAAGTGCTGTCCAGACTGAGAGCCTTGAACCCAGCCCCCAAGCAATGTTTAGTAGTGGTCTTGTAATTTTTTGGTTACATTTTGTTAGATTTATCCCTAAGAATTTTATGCTTTTTAATTTCAATATAAATTGAACTTTGAAGAAGATAATTTCCAAAAATTTTCTGGTGGGTAAATTGGTTTTTCTGAATTACTGTTGTATCCTAGCTGAATTCACACACAAGTTTTAGAAGCTCCTTCCTAGACTCTTTAGGGTTTAAAGATTGAGGATGCTTCCTTCTTTTTCCAATGTGTTGGGTTTTTAAAACATGTGTGTTTTTTCTTTATTTTAGTGTTGATTTATGTTTTTACCTCTTCTTTTTTTGTGTCTATAGTATGTGTATATGTATGAGGGTTTGCACGTGTAAGGGTACATGTGCGTGTTGGCATGCAGAGGCCCAAAGTTGCTGTTAGGAATCTTCCTTGATCATTCCTCCACTGTATACTTGGAGGCAGGGTCTCTCCATCCAGCCCCCGAGCTTGCTGGTGCAACTAGTCTGGATGCTCCCCCATCTCCATCATCTGGGGCTGGAGTTAGAGGTGGCACGGTGCCCGTGTGAAGGATCTGAACTCTTGTCCTCTCTTCCTTGCCTTCTCCCCAGCCACTGCACTGATTGCAAAAGTCCTTGTAATCTACAATTGGGTTCAGTGCTCTAAGGAACACTCTGGTCTGTGTTTTCTGTTTCTGCTCCCTCTTTGGTTTTATTTACTTACTTAGGTAACGGCTTTATCTGATGTTAGCTTTAGGGCTATGAGGGCCTCATGAAACAACGAAAAGGTCCCTTATTCTGTTTGCTTAAGTTAGTTGTAAATTCAGGGTTTTGTTTCTCCCGAAGACCATTTTTGGTGTAAATCTTTGAACTGACACTTCAGGGTGGACTTGGCACAGTGAGGCCATAGCTGATGGATTAGGAGGGCTTCTTGCTCTTCATCCTGTTGAGGTCTTTGATCTCTTCCTTCTGGTAACCAGAAACTGTTCTCTCTGGTGTCTTTGTCTACGAGGTAGAGCCGCATGAAACTCTTGGCTCCCTTTTGCCTCTTGGGAGTGTATGGTAGGTGAAGGAAAGTCCTGCCTAAGCGAGTCTTTACCACAAGTACCAGCTCAGATGCTCCGAGAGAACATTCCAGGCCTCCCAAAAGAAGTTAAGAAACCCTCACTGTTTCCCTCAAGGCAGCTCTCTCTCAGCCATTTCTGGACATGTTGGAATACTTTGGGAGTCCTAGAATAATTCTGTGGTCACTTGGTACCTCATGTATCTTCCTGAAAAACTGTTAGGAAGTATTAGGTTTGACTCTGGGTGATTTCATCTCCCTGAGGGAAATGACGAGATAGAGCATACAATCGTGGTGTTCAAAGCCTGAACTCCAAGTTACAGCACACACGTGCTTGTTTGGCCCATAGCTTGTGTCTCTCTCCTCTGTGTCTGAATGCAGCATGATGGTCCCAGGCAACGCGGCGGGTGTGGCCAAGCAATTCCTCCGCTGCATCTTCCATCAGCTGGCCCCCAATGGCATCTTCCCCCAGCTGTTCCAGAGCGCCATCAAAGGTAACTCACTCCCCGCGAGGACCCAGATGCTGCAAGCCTGGCCAGTGCCCAAAAACACTAACTGTGACTGTTTCCGCTATAGACGGAACTTTTTTACGGACCTTAGCCACATCTCTCATGGACTTCAATGAGCTGAGTTCAATTGCTGCCCTCAGTCAGCTCTTGGAGGTAGGTTTGTGTGAAGAGCGCCCTAGGCCTGAGCCAAAGTCATGAACCACATCTATGTCCGCCCTGTAGTGCCCTTCCTTGAACTGCTTCGTGGTGCTATGCTGTGTCTTGAGACTGCCTTGAAGTCTTTATGACATAAGCTACATCAAGAAGTCCCCACGCTTCACCACGCCCAGCTGTTGCTAGGAAGAAAGCAGCTGCTGCTGTTACCAATGGCTCCAGTCTTTATTCTGGAAGATTCTTTGCAGCAGGCCTCATTCACCGTCTTCTTGGCATCTAACCACCCCAGTTATATACCCTGACATACTTGATATTTACCGACTTAAAGGTCACCAATTTCGTGCTGAGGTTTTTCTAAACGTAGCTGGCTTTTCGTCCTTATTCCTCCTGCCTGTTAGAATGACCAGCCTGTATAGCAGGCGATCCAACATGTGTATAGTGTGCATGTATGATTTCTAAACACACCTTCACTGGATAGCTTCATGAATTCCTGTGCTGCTTTCAGCAGTTGATTGCCTATGCTTTTGTGTTTTTAGGGTCTAAATAACAAAAAGAATTTGCCAGCAGGGGGCGCTATGATACGCTGTTTGGAAAACATCGCCACGTTCATGGAAGCTCTGCCCATGGATTCTCCTAGTAGCCTCTGGGCCACGATCAGCAACCAGTTTCAGACATTTTTTGCCAAGCTGCCTTGTGTTTTACCTTTGAAGGTGAGCTCAGCCCAAGCTCTTAGCTTCCTTTACTTTCTGCCCATCTGCTTACAGAGACCAACACAGGAAGCATGGTCAGGAGATCCAACAGGTCCCAAAGGGCTGTTGGGGCACGGGTCAGCCTGAGTGAAGAGCTCATTTAGGTCATTCAGTCTGCAATGTTACAGGTTACCACCAGCCTGGAGTGGACGCTTTACCCACTGATAATGAAGCTACCTGGTGACCGCATGGGTTTTAGTTGAAGGAAAAGGTGCCAGTAGACTATGCTTTCTTCTTTTCTGTCTGCCTTTCTTTTTAAATCTGTTTTTGTTTTCCTTTTCAGTGAGGGGGCAAGAACTCAGCATCTGTGCATGCTTGGTAACATTCTATCACTGAACTACAGTCCCAGCCTTAGATTGTCTTTATGCAGAAGTTTTTTTTTTCCCCCAAGTGGATATCAAATAGGCAAGGAAATTAATAGTTTTGTCTAAAAGGATCTCAGGCATAGATAAAGTGTTAGTTTTAGGGAATTATTTAAAGTGACAAGTGTTTTTGAATAATGTTAGAGTATTGTTCAGGGAAGACCAACACGATATTCTATGGGACAGCTTCTAGTGTTTGGATCAAAGTATAGCACCTGGGAAGAACACACACACACACACACACACACACACACACACACACACACACACCCCAATTCCACACATTTTAACACGGCTCCCTTAGTCCGGAGTGTCATTCAGAACCATCCTTTGCTGATGAGCCACACACATTCAGTAGCATGGGTTCCGATGTGAGATTGCTGAACTGGACACTGGCCAGCAGGGAGTGCTGCTGCTGTAAACACTGCTATGCCTAATTTGTGACAATCAGCTGTGCCCGCAGGGACTCTGCCCGGAAGGTTAATGAGTGGAGTGGTGCGAGATAGGATAATAAGGAGAAAGGAGGCTCTTGACAGTGTTAATGCACGACTCCTACCGTGGTCTGCACTTCACCCCTGCTGATGGCGGTTTTGCAGGAACACGCCTCAGCATATGGGGCTCCCCCGCTCCCCCCAAGATGACATTTCCTGGTTTTTAAGTCACCAGGGTTTGGCCCGATCAGCAGCTGGTTTTCAGCTCCTGGTTTAAAGTAAGTAAATGTCATGTCAATTCTGAAGGGCGTTGGCATATTAAACAGGCTGAGGCTCTTTTAGAAGATTCTTAGAAAATACGCCAGGATTTGTGCATGGAAGTTCCTTAGTAAGTCAGATCTGAAAACTGATTCTGCTTTGTCCTTAATCTCTAGGAAATATTCCCCACTGACAATCTCGAAGTTTGTCTTTGGGAAGTGTCATCGAAGGAGATCTCAGACTTCGGTGTGCACCACTGTCTGTGACTCGTAGAGTGAGGCCAGGTGCCAGACAAGCCACAGGTGCAGGGGTTCACAAGGAGACACTGTGGCTTAGCTCCTGTTTTGTTGAAGGCGGTCATTGTCCAGATGTAGAAGCTGGGATGTGGCTATAATGATAGACTAGCAATAGCAAATGGCCGTTTGTTACTCCTGCTCTTCCGATTTCCTCCCAACCCCTGAGGACCCCGGGGACTTTCAAAGCACATTTTTGATCTAGAATCTTGCAGAGTCTGTATTTTCTCTCCATATGGATGTCCGAGAGAAATTTTGCTACTTTTCTCCAGGCTCTGGGTCATTCTTTTCATAACAAAGGGAAGGTGAATTCCTACCTAGGGAACTGGAGAGGCCTAGTTTAGTGGTGCCACACCTTCTTGCTATGCACAAGGACCAAATTTAATCTCTGTCCTTGTGAAAAATTAAAATAAGAAACAAATCCCAGAGGAAGGTGATGAAACTGGTTCTTGTTTGGACTAATGGTTTCTATAATTCCCCCCCGCCATGATAGCTTTTCCTAACTTAGTGTACTTCTTTAGATTGGTATCCATTTAACATCTACCTTCTTAACTGCCATGTTTATCTGTCCATCTCTCTAGTCACTTGTCCATCCACCTATCTGCCTATCCATCCATCCATCCATCCATCCATCCATCCGTCCGTCCATCCATCCATCCATCCAGGTTTTTAATCTAACATTTTATATCATTTAATTCTGGAACTATATCTTTGAGGAATAGTTTCAGAGCTATGTTTAATTAATTTATTTAATAATTATTTTAACATGCATAATTTTCATTACAGTTTTTAAATCTGAAAACAATTGTTTTTTATATACATAGGAAACAGTACATAAGAGCATGAGTGTGTGTGTATGTGTGTATACGTGTGTGTGTCTGTGTTTGAATCCTTGTGGGTATGTGTGCATATGAGGTCAGAGGTCAGCATTGGGTATCACTCCTCAGGCACAGTCCACCATGTTTTAGAGACCAGAGAGCCCCAGGGATAAACCTGCCTGTACTGCCCTGGTGCTGACATTAAGAACACTGACCACCACACCCAGCTCTTTCCAGTGGGTTCTGGGAGCAAGTTTGGGACTTTGTGCATGTGTGGCATGGCATGCCCCTTACTGACAGAGCCGTCTCCCCACTCCCACATGCAGGAGATATTTGAAACAAAAGAAACATTGAGAAGGAAGCTAGCATTTACCTTTTCATATCTGTCCACAGTGTTCTTTAGATTCCAGTTTGAGAATTATGATCTGCCTCTTGAAGATACCTTCTACCAATGCCACGAGGGTACGTATTTTTAAAAGTGTTTCAGAAAAGCTTGCCTGGCTGGTGATTTGATTACCTTCTAACTGAAAGGCAGCAAGAGTGACCCTGAAGACTTGGCTGCTGCATATGGATTGTCCCCTCCCAGCGTCTAATATACTGCAATGCCACTGTCTGTAATCATTCGCCCTGGTACTACGGCAAGCCTGCCACTCCATCCAGACTATCTTCCAGATTACCAGTTATTAGCTGAGCTTTCTAAGTAGGCGTGTGTTGGTTCCTTAGTTAAGTCTTCGACGACCTCCGGTTTCTTTCAGGATCACATCCAAATTCCTTGACGTAGCCTCCATTCACATCCTTCTTACCAGCCTACCTTTCCAGTTCAATCTCTGCTACTTGACCCATTGCCCCAGTGTTTCTCAAGCATCTATCTTCATGAAGACAGTGGACACTGTTGAATGCTCCCATATTGCACCTCGTGCTTTACACATTTAATCCTGTTTAGTTTCAGACCCACACCTTTGCTCGGGCTGTTTCCTCCGCCTGGCATACTTTAAACCCTTGTCAGTGCGGTGAGCCCACACTTCATCCTTCAAGGCCCCATTTAAAACTCCTAAATGCTCGTATTATCTGTAGGAAGCACTTCCTTGATCAGGCTTCCAGTGTTAACACGCACAGTGCCCTGCGGGTTCTCCAGTGAGACCATGAGCCGTGTGGGAAGTTCAGGACTGCGTCTCATCTCCTGCTCACGTATCTTGGCTGCCTTCTGCGCAGCGGTACAAGAGCTTACGTTATGAAAGTGCACAATTACTAGATCACCCACCAACAACCCACATTTCTGAGAGCCTTTACAGTTTCACAGAGTCACAGTTCACGCTAGCCAGTTACAAAGAGAGATGAGCCAGTCTGTGCCTATACAGATGAAGACGTGGACTCAGAAGCAACATGTCTGGTCAAGGTCACAGCTAGTTTGTCAACGGCCTGAAACTTGAGCGTAGGTCCGTAGACAACAAGTTCCTAGGTTTTTCTGTTGTGCCACAAGGCCCATCCGCTGCTGTTTAGGTGTGAGCGTTTCCAAATAGCTATGTGCAGGCACCATCTCAAAGTTTCCTTAACGTTTTCCACATAAAAAGAGTCACATAGGTTTTTGTGGTGGGGTAACAATAATGGAAAACACACCCATTCTCAGGGGCAAAGAGCGGGCAATGAATGGATTCTTACGTAAACACATAAGGAACCTCAAAAAGATTCATATCTGGCCCAAAGAGAAGGCTCAATAAGGGTGCTTGTTGCTCTTGCAGACCCCAAGTTTGGTTCCATGCAGCTTACACTCCCTTGTAACTCCAACTTCAGGGGATATGATGCCTTCTGGCTTCCTCAGGCTTCTGCACACACATGGCACACACACACACACACACACACACACACACGGCATACACACACATAAGTAATAATAAAATAAATCTTTAAAAGTGAGTTTATCCTTGGGGCTGCAGAGTTGCTTGGAGGGTAAAAGCGCTTGGCACACAAGCATGACCGCCTGAGTCTCTACCCCCAGAACCCACACAAAGCTGGGTGCAGTGCAGTGGTGCACAGTGAGAGAGACTGCCCAAACCAAGGTGGAAGGTGAGGACAGACACTCCAGCTTGTCCTCCGACCGCCACGTGTGCCCCATGGCACACATGCATCTCACACGTGAACATGCAAAAAGCAGATATTTTTCAAGTGTTCACATCCTCTTATTGAGTCAGTCCTTTTCTAGAAGCCTGTTCTAAGGAAGAACATTAAATTGAATATTTAATGCAGACATATTTACCGAGGTGGCATTTACAGTGTGGCTATTAAGACACATGGCTCTGGAGGATTCAATAGCACTTTAATTTCTTACATTATCAGCTAGAGATCCAAGGCTCCAACTAAGAAGAGCAGCAGCAAAGGCTGGAGCTTGTGTTCTTTCCTGCCTTCTGGGGCTCCAGAAGACATTTGAATAGGACAGACAATGCAAAAGCGCCAAGCTCTGACACTCAGTGGGTGCCCGCTAAGTGACCTGTGAGACTAAAACTGAGCCATGGTGGGAAGCAAACAGACAACGCCCCTCTGATAAGTATGTGTAGGAAGCTGGACAGCAGGAACCGTGTCTGAGCTCAAGGCACTTGGTGCTACACACAGGACACTTCTCAGTGTAATTGGTGGGTGCAAATCTGAGGAGCTACAGACGCTTGAGGGTCCAGAGGAGCCGGTTGGGAGATCTCAGCACAGCCTTGTAGAGGTGGGGTTGCTTAGCCTGGCAGGAGGACAGGACTGTAGTAAGGAGGGTTTGTAAATGATGCCACGTGGGAAAACAAGGGGTTTGGTTTCTCTTGCAATAAAGTGACTGAATCATTCTCTTTGAATTGTGGGTTGATTTCTTAGACCAACAGAGCAGCTATTAACAGCAGCTTGCATCGAATTTCTAAAAAACAACTCTAGCAGTTAAAGTGTAGTAAGACTGGTGTTTTTTTTTAAGCGAAGGAACAAACCATTTATTTGGCTCCGATCTCATTGCAGAGTTTGTTGGAACCATTTTCCAAGCTACTCAGCTTTGTCATTCAGAATGCTGTCTTCACTCTGGCTTACCTGGTGGAGTTGTGTGGCTTATGCTACCGAGCGTTCACTAAGGTAAGCCTGCCTGTGTGTTCCCACGAAGTCGGAAACAGCAGTGTCAAGTCCATGTGGGCTTCCCTGCTGCATTGCCATTAAGACGAGTGGTTCTGCTGAGGTCTGTTGGACACTTCACACAGACACACATTCCCTGGTTCTGAAATGGGCAGATTTGGAGACTGAGGCCACATGGTTTTGAGAGGCATTTTGAGCGAGTTAATGGTCTACGTGACCTCCTAAGACTTTTTCAAGCTTGTTATAGCTCACAACTTGTACAAGCCTCTGGAGTGCTCCTTAATGCTCCCGTGTTTGTGCCCTGGCTCTGGCTTCTTGGCCTCTGAGAGGAGAATCTTAACCATGGCTCCTTCGCTGGGTTGACTTTAGCACCTCTCTCCCCAAGCATGAGAAAATGGAAAAGTACATCCTGCCCAGTGGATGTAGCTGCCTTATCAGAGTCTGTAGGCACTGGCCTCATGGAAATGCAGGCATCAGGGAAAGTGGCTCCTTTCCGTCCTGGGGACACTGCAAATGCTCCCATCTAAGGCCCAGTGTCATAAGCTTGTTTTCAATGGGACCTCTGTTTCTGTGGGTCCCTCCTGGACATTCAGAAAGCTCTCTATCTGTGTTGCCTCCTTGTGTTAGCTCTTTATTCCCCCCAAAACTCATTTTACAACAAAGCTTTCTTTCTATTTATAAGAAGAACCCCAGTCATCTTTCTTAGCAACTTGCATCCATTCTGCCATGTTAAGTGTTCCGTGATAATTTTTTATTTTGCCTTGCACATCCTAAGCTACTTACTGCCCTGCCTGGAGCCCATATTTTCCACCTCTCAAGATAGTATTTTTTCCCTTGAACATTTTCTTTGAACAGTAACTTGACCCCCTTTTTCTTTTATGTTTAAGAGAGTATATCTACACAACATGACATCAAATACAGTAAAATGCTTTATTTTTAGAAGTCATTTTATTTAAAACAGTGATATCTAACAGTGTCTCCTTATGTAATCCAGGGAAAGACAGGAGAAGGTATAGAGTCCTAGTGTCTTCCTTTCCTGGGAGTCAGGAAGTCTAGAAAATCCGGAGTCACCCCCTCTGAGAAGACTAGAATTCTGGGTGAAATATAATACTACTTAATTTATGATGCTAGCTTTAATTATATAATTAATATTAGAAGGACAACAGAGAGAAAAGGAAAAGGGAATCGAGAACCCAAATTCAAGCAAGTCAGCAGGTCTGAGGAAGGGGGTTATTGTCTTAGTATCCTAGTGGTTTGACTGCTGAATTCCATACAAGGAAAAGGATGATGATGTTAGGATGGTTCCATGCTGGGAGCTGGAGCCAAGACTTCCCCCTAGGAAGTCAGGACATTGGTTAAAGAGTAGTTGAGGGGAACACATTAGTAATGTAGCAGTAGCAAGCAATGCTATGTGTTTTAGCCCTCCCGTAGAAAAGGGCATATTTTTCTTGAGCGTTAGTAAACATAGGCTGATCATTGAAAAAATACGATGGTTTGAATTTATAGTACCTTGTTGCAGGATATTTGATCACTGTGAACCCCAAGATTGTGTTGTTTACTGGAGAAACCTGTTTCTAGTTGTGGCTCAGCCCTAGCACACACCTTCAATCCAAGAGCTTCTGCTTGAATATTGTTAACAGGATTAAACAAAGTCAACCATAGGCCAAGAGGCAGAGGAAGCAACCAGTTGGCCGGAAGCAAACATAAGATCACTAAGAAAGAGCCATAGAGAGAAAGAGGGAGTCCGGAGGACAGATAGACAGAGGCGCAGAAGTAGAAGTGAGGGACTTTGAACTTGAGGAGTCTTGTTTGAGGTGGGGAAGATGGCAGAGGAGGAAGGTGAGTTGGGTGCTTTCTCTGAGCTAGCGGGGTTTCACCCCAGCATCTGGCTTCCAGGTCTTAACAAATTTTGTGAAGAACAACAGTATTTGCAAGCAGAAGTCACATGACTCGGATGCTGCACCACAACAGGTGCTCAGCTTTGGCGTCTGTAGAAGCTCAGAAGCCCAGGCACGTCTAGAGAGATGAGCGCGCAGCTCAGCCCCTGCATGATTTCGGAGGCTAAAACCCTGATGAGCATAAGCAATCTAAGCTCCACTCTCCCCAAGTAAAAACAACCTACCAGGGCCTGGATTAGCAGAGTCAATAAATGGTGATACTATTTCTCCCAAGAATATGAAAACTGTGAGATAGGGCTCTATACTATAAGCTTACAAAGGGTGCATATGGAGGCCGAAAGTTGACAGAGGTGTCTTTCTCTGGCTCACCACTTTGTTTTTTGAAACAGGGTCTCTCAGTGAACCTAAGATCACTGATTATCTAGGCTAGCCATCAAGTTAGAAATCTACCTGTCATTGCCTCCCCAGCACTGGTTTTAGAAGCACCCATTGCCATGCTTGGCTTTTTATCATCATCATCATTGTTATTATTGTTTTTTTTTCATGCATGTTGGGGATGTGATCTCAGGTCCTCATACTACACAGCAAGCAGCTTACCAACTGAGCATGTCCCCAGACCCTGTCTCAAGTACTTCACTAGAAAGAAAGAACTGAACAGGCCAACTTCATTACAAGATAGAGTAGGGAGTTTAGGGAAGGAGGTGACCAAGATGGCATCAAGAAAAGCAGATAAACAGAGCAGATAGAGAAACATGATGGCAGACATGTTCAGAGCAGATAAAGAGTACTGGCAAAGAGAAACATGATGGCAGACATGTTAGGGTAAAGGCAGTCAACTTTGAGCCAGTACCTTGAATTCTCATACAATAGGGATAGTTTTCTAGAGAAGCATAATGTATAACAACTAGGGGGAAAGGGATAGGAAAAAGTTGATTATACTTAAATGATGAAAACGCAGAGTCAAAGGTTGAAAGCCCCTCTGGAATGGATGCCATGGCAACGCTAGTGCCGATGTCCACTCTATTTAGAAACAGACTGATCTGTACCCGAACACTAATAGAACAGAAATGGGGAGCACTGAGCACTGCCCACACATTCCACGAGGGCAGCAGACTCTGGACTCCACTCAGACAAGGGCAGCAGAGGAAGGAGATGACAGACGAGTGCCCTTCACACGTGATAAACTTCTGATGAACAGTACAAATCAGTGCGTTAAAAGGAGAGGCTAGTGAGCCAGCTAGGATCTGCAGAACTGTAAATAGGTATACAACTAAACATATACAACTAATAAATAGTGGATACATTTTTAAAGAACAATTATTTGGTGTACATATGCTTTTACCATTTATCACAGGTAAAAGAAAGTTTTGGGGATGGAAAGATGGCTCAGTGGTAAGAATGCATACTTGCCCCTGCAGAGGACTCAAGTTAGTTCCCAGAGCCCATGTTGGGTGGTTTACAGCTACTTATAAATCCAGTACCAGGGAATTCAACTCCCTCTTCTGGCCACTGCAGGCACCTGCACTCATAGGCACATACCCACACACAGATACATGCACAACACATCAAAAAAATCTTTATTTAAAAAATTCTTATTAATGAGATAGATCTGTTTGTTTATTTTTATATACAGATTCAAATCTTGCCAGAATATTTGATACTACGGGACATAGATTATCTTCAATGTTCTTCAGAGTTGTTTGGTATTTTTATTTTATTCCCATCAAGTCTGAAAGCCATGCTTTGCATAAATATGTAGCACAAAAATTACGGAAGTATGTTCAAGACCATTTCAAACTGTTGGAAATTCTTTTCTAATCCCAAGCTAAATAAAATTTATGCAGTATTTTAAAAATGAAATGTAATTCAGCAGCTGAAACAGCAACTTTAAAATCAAACATTCTCACTCTGTGATTCAGAGGTATGGTCACTTGGTACGCACATCCTTAGGAATTGCAGTGGGACAATCTTTCTTAACATCTTTCTTTTCCACAGCTAAACCATGTGTTTCTGTCAAAGCAGAGCCTTCGTATGTACAGCAGAGACACAACAGTAACATGCCACAGGCACACTTGTTTCAGGCTGTGCAGTCCAGTATGCACAGTACAGAGAGAGAGAGTGTGTGTGGTGTGTGTGTGTGTGTGTGGTGTGTGTGTGATATGTGTATGTGCAATGTGTGTGGTGTGTGTGGTGTTGTGTGTGTGTGTGTGTGTAGTGTGTGTTGTGTGTGTGGTGTATGGGTGTGTGTGGTATGGTGTGTGGGTGTGTGTGATGTGTGTGATATGTGTAAGTGCAATGTGTGTGATGTATGTGGTATGTGTGCGTAGTGTGTATGTGTATGTGTGGTGTGCATGAGTGGTGTGTGTGCGTGATGTGTATGGTGTATGTTTGTGTGTGGTGTGTGTGTATGTGTAACGTGTGTGTGGTGTATGGGGTGTGTGTGGTGTGGTGTGTGTGTATGTGTGTGTGGTGTGGTATGTGTGTATGATGTGTGTGGGGGGGTATGTGTGGTGTGTATGTGGGGGGTATGGGTTATGTGTGTGTGTGGTGTGGTGGTGATGTGTGTGTGTGTGTGTGTGTTCAGAACAGAGGCTGCAGCAGAGTCACATGATACAACACAGGAAGAAACACCTGGGAGTCATCACACATGTAACGTTAAGATTTGCTCAAGAACCCCCTTACTGTTTGTTGCCAGTGTCCTTCCCCACCCCATTTCCAGAATTACATTGAGTTCCATGACCCTAGATGTGCAGTTTAAAAAGTTGTGAGCAGAGTCATTTGAAACTAGACTTCCACTTAACGTTTGGAAGGCTTTGTTTTAGGGCCTGTGAAATGGTGTCGTAATAGGGCAGAGGCACCTGTCACACACTTGAACTTGACAGGACCCACGTGGTGAAAGGAAGTCACCAAGCCCTGCAAGTACACACACACACACACACACACACACACACACACACACACACTTTTTAAAATGGAAAGTTTTTTAAATAAACAGGCTATTTTCTTTTAAGCTTCTTGGAAGTGTCAATATGTTAGCCAAATATACAGACATTATGAGGCCAGGAGCCAGAGGAGCTCATTACTGGAAGGTGGTGAGCCTAGTCCTGAATGCTGTGGGGTGGTGACCCCAGCCCTGAGTGCTGCAAGGGGTGAGCTTGACCCTGAAGGTCATTTTCCCCCTGGAATGTTGATCCGTGTGCACAATGTGACTGAGAAGTTGAGCTGCAGTTTCAGAAGCTGAGGGTAGAGAGGCGAACATCAGACTGGAGACCTGGACCCCACATCCTCCAGGCTTATACCTCTGTCTAGGACCACAGACTAAGAAAGCTCAGAGTAAACTCGGACCCAGCACAGTGTTGGCTCCGAGGTTAAATCCACAAGACTTTCTGTGTACTAAGTTAGCCGTGGTCAGCCAGTGTGGGCTACCTGCACCTGGGAAAGCTGAACAGAAGACTCCATGAAGGAAGGTAGCAGTTCTGGAAACTCATTGTCTCTACGTGTAGCTTTGAAGAGAAAGCCTTCAACACACAGGGAGCAGTAACCAGCTCTACAGACAGTTGCAGTGGGTGACAATGAATACAGACCTCCCCAGAGCTCCTGAGATGTTTGCCAATGCTTCCCTGTCCCAAGGGCTCACTGCCTGAGAGCTAAGCCCATTTTAATTCACTGAACTGTACGCTTGCGCACGATGCGCTCTCCTACAGTGTGTTGTGTTTGATAATAAAGAAGATACATCTAATGTACAGTTGACATCGGTGAATTGCGGTGCAGGTATACAATATAATATAAGTAGATTGTGACTCAAAATGGCGAGTTAAGTATATCAGGGGCTAATTAAACAACATAAATAATTCAAAGTTGAAGAAAAGATATGTACAGTACTGAGGACAAAAAATGTATGTTATGATAGAGATGTGTGCATGTGTGGTCAAAATATGAAAACGCAAAATAAGCAACAGATTCTGGGTAGAGAGGACTTCCAGGAGTGGAGGAAACGCTGAAAGGGGGAGGTGCATACATCAAGTGTCCCATTCTCTCTGCTTTTCTGTACTGTTGAAGCCATCCATGCCACAAAAGAAGTGTTTGGGAGAAAACAGGGAGCTTTCGGACAGCTGTGCCTGCTTCTCTCTGTACCCTTTTGTAGTGAAAATCATACGCTTAGTTTTGTTTGATTGCGCAGTTCCCGTGACTCAGAAGCAATCCTGTGGTTTTGATGTTTAAGAGGCGTCTCATCCATTCTGTGACGTGTCCTTGTTGCAGCAGCAGACTCATTCCACACACAGAAATGTCCTTCTCGCAGTTTTATTTATGAAAAGCAGCTCGATTGCACTTTACACCCCGTTTTGAACTCCCAACCTGTAAATGATTGAAGCTCGTTTGGTGTAGATCATGTGAATTGAGTTTGGAAATGACCGGCCCCTTCTGTTTTGTTTTATTTAGGAACGGGATAAATTCTACTTGTCTCGTAGTGTTGTTCTGGAACTTCTCCAGGCCCTGAAGCTCAAGTCTCCTTTGCCAGACACGAACCTCCTGCTTCTTGTCCAGGTAGCCCCGTGCTGCATCTGCAGAGCTTCTCACCATGCGGCGTGTGTTGGGCAGAGGCTGGCGGCCTGGGGTGTGTGCTCGAGGATGGGTGCTCTACTATTCCTGTGCGCTTGGCACTTCTATTGGCTAAAAAAGACAGAAGAGGAGTCATCCTTTTATCCACCTGTGGACCTAGTTTTGAGAATGATAAAAATATAGAATAAAACAATATTTTGTCATCAAGAAAGTTGTTACTCAGGGCTGGAGAGATGCTCAGTGGTTTGCTCTTCCAATAGCACCCATATCTGGCTCGGTACAGCTCAAGGAGATCCGAGACACACGCACACACACGCGCGCGCGCACACACACACACACACACACACACACGTACACACAGCACACAGGAAAAGAAATTGGTAATTCATCAGTTGGCAGGCAGTTTTCTCAACAGTGTAGAGATGGGACTAAGGAAACCAAGACTGAGGTTGCAGGCTGAAGCTTCTGTGTGGTCTGATCAGCATGTTCAAGCCCTAGAATCTTCTCTATTCGTGAAGATGGGCCAGACCAGACACAGTCAACTGGCAGGAAGTGCTGAGTCCCTGGAAGATGAGAATTGGCTCCTTTGAGTCCATTGAGGCAGAGTGTTTGAAGGCAAGCACTGGAGAATTAATGACAATACTTATGTTTTTGGATACTGAGCTACATAGGAGAGGCCAAAGCCCTCTGTATCTATTGTCCTTAGCAGCATCATAGGCAGGTCCATTTAAACCTCCAAGATAGGCTGTGACTAGTGTCAGGAAAGAGACAGATGTAAGGAGAGTCCTTATTCCCTCCTGTATAGTGTGTAATCAGGGAAAAACTTACTGGTGACTGGTCCTTATACCCTGGTCACCAAGGACAAGTGTCTGCTTCGTATGTCAGGTAGCCAGAGACTGAATGATTTCAAACAATGCAGGCAGGAAACAAGCCTGAAGACCCTGGGTTCTCTCCATGGCACTAGACAATGTCCCTCTGTTTCCCCCAGTCTTGAGCACAGCATATCTGTGTGGCTGATCTTCTTGGGGTCTGTCACCTCACACTGTGACCATGGCGGACTACTTTCTATGAAGTACATGAGTCAACCCTAATAAGCGCTTATCACAAGACAGCAAAAGAACACTGGCAGGTTCAATTACCCAGTGCTTAAGGCAACCGTGAAAACAGTGATTACCGCATCACTGTTTGGTGGATAAATAACAAAAACAAATTTGTGCTAACAAGAAAGAAGGCTAAATGTGGCTTTTGAATGGTTGTCTGCCATTATAAATACGGCATTTTTAGTTTTTTTTTAAATCAAGTACTTGGGAGGCTGAGGCAAGAAGCACTGAGGAGTTAGAGGCTAGCCTCTCAAAATAATAAACTATATATATATACATTGAGTCATTAAGTTTAGAAATTATTCAGGTTGAAGAGGTGTTTAGGAAACTCTGATATCCTGCCCTGGAGGAATAGCTTTGTAAATAATATTTCATTTTTCTCTGGCAAAAAATTAAACATCATGGCATCTTGAAGTAACTCATCTATACAGTTAGAATAAATCATTCTAGTTATTAGTGAGACAAATCAAAGTAAGGTGTAGCTTAAAGCCAATGTAGCTTTCGTCACCACCCTGGGGTCCTACCCCAGATGAGGTAGGACTAGGTGGATAACTTTGTCCAAATGCAACAGTTACATTCTTCCCACAGGTAGGACATACCTTAATTGTGTTCCTGTTAGATGGCAATATCAGAGACCCCTGTGTAGTTGGGCTGTCCTTTGGGTTGCCAACCAGCTCCCAAATGAAGACATGGAGACTCATTAATTGTGAATGTTAGGCCTTAGCTTAGGCTTGTCCCACTAGCTACTTTAGCTTAATCTGTTTCTTTTCATCTGTGTTTTGCCTCTGGACTTTTAACCCCTTTTTCATTCTGTATGTTCTATTTTACTGCTTCCTCTGTGTCTGTCTGTCTGGCCACTGGCATCTCCCTGGGTTATCTTTTTCTCCCCCTCCCCATTCTAAATTCCTGCTTACTCTCCCTGCCCAGAAATCCCATATATACCTCCTTCCTTGCTATTGTCTAGTTAGCTTTTTTATTTGACCAATCAGGTGCCTTAGGCAAGCAAGGTAAAACAGCAGCACATCTTTACATAATTAAACAAGTGCAACACATCTTTACATAGTTAAACAAATATTCTGGAACATAAACAAATGCAGCATATCTTTGCATAGTTAAATAAATATTCCAAAACACCCCTACCCAACAGTGAACACTTGCCTGCTTCCAAAGCAGTCACAGTGCTGGTATATCCCACAATTCTTAGAAAAATTCTTCCTTGCTGGTGGCATCCTGGGACACCCTCTCCCCCCATATTGTGGATGTTTGATGCGTGAAAGATAGGTCCTTATATTTGAGGATTAAAGGAAAGTTTCCATGGTAGAACAATAACTTATTAAAAGTCACTGGAAAGACTAACTTCAAGTCCTAGCTGGGTAGAGAGTAGATGCTCTGTTAATCTGCATGCACTCCTCCCACGCCGTGGGAAACCTGCACATCCAAGTGCTGTGGGATCATGTCGGTAAAAGCTTCTCTTTTAAAAATAGGTCAGCTGGGGGCTGAGAACGAAGGTATGGCTGCTGTTTTTAGTTCATACCGCCAAGCGAGTTGTTAATGCTAGCTAAGTTACTAATAACCTTCCCTATGGGAGGGAGGAGACATAGACATACTATTTTGGGTATCCTTTTGGTAACGATGAATTTAGTAATGATGCATAATTAATGGCGCTCTTCTTTGTGTCCTTTTGTTCTTATGGAGGGGTGCACATTTCAGTGGTGTGTTCCTTTCTGAAAGCATAGAATTCTCTTGGTTTTGTTTTTGGACTTTCATTTTTGAGATTAATATAACTACATCATTTCTCCCTTCCCTTTCCCTCCAAAGTCTCTCATACACCCCTCCTTGCTCTCTTTCAAATTCGTGGTCTCTTTTTCCATTCATTCTTTTTTTGGGGGGGTTTACGAGACAGGGTTTCTCTGTATTGTTTTGGAGGCTGTCGGTCCAGCCTGGCCTCAAACGCACAGAGATCTGCCTGCCTCTGCCTCCCGAGTGCTGGGATTAAAGGCGTGCGCCACCACCGCCCGGCTCCATTCATTCTTGTTACATGAAAGTATAGAGTTTTTGCATTGGTTCCCCTGATTTTAGTTGTATCTAGAGCTTTGCACAGTTCCAGACAGTCACGGGAGGGCTTTGCCAGTTTGTGGTTGGCAGCTGTAATAAAATAACAGATTGGCTGAGTCCGTTAGTTGTTCATGTTCTGTAAAAATACCCTGGACTGAAGCACACTGGTAATGGTGCCTGGGTTTTTAGAGGACTGTACACTTTCACCCCCTTTGCGGCTAAGTCGCCTTTTTATTTTGACTTGTATGAGTCATGGCAGTTTTGAATCTGAGCCCGCTCTGTGGCAGGTATCTAAAAGCAGGTCCCAGTGGTCACATTTGTGCTTCTGTGTTACCCTTCCTTGCTCGGTGGCCACTAGGCCATACAAGGGCATTTTGAGGGCTGGGACTTTCTGTTGTCCTGAGAGGCCACTCCAAACACCCTTTATGTCACACGTTTGGCTTGGCTCCATCTTCCCGTGGCTTCTTTGCCATGGTCCCTTTTTATTGAAAGGATGGACGTTAATGCCAGTGTTCTGACAAGTTTAGGACTTAACTGTAGCTTATCCGTCTCAGGTTGCAGACTTTGAAAAAGTCATCTTTTGGGAAAACACGCAGCATCTGCCAGGAGTTGGGTTGGGAGTACTTACTTCTACACTCTGCTATTCTGTTAGATGTTACCCTAAGCAAGCTATCACATGTCACTGTGTCTTTTTGTGTACAGGTTTTGGCAAAAGTTAAAGGCTTTCAGGTGTTCAAACCTGACTCAGGACTTTTCTGTATGCAGCACTAGAAATGAACACGATAGGTAGCAAATGAAGCAATACCAGGCTCCTCGTGCACTCCTGTCATGAACCCTCAGCACAGCTCTTCACCGCCTTGCCCCCCCTACTCAGTCGTGTCCCCCCCCCACCCCGCCCCCTGCTTGGTATGAAAGTTAAGTTCCTTTCATGAATGGCTGCACCTCCCAGGCTCGAACTACAGTGTCAGTGAGCCCTTAGGCTGAGAAGGTCATTGACTTAGAGCCCCGCCTTCTTAACTAAAACCTGCTGCCAATCAACAGGCTCAGATTTGGACCCCTGAGTAGTTTGCCCAAATGTTGGTTTCCATTCCATTGTCCCACACATTCTCAGCAGGCCTCCCCGAGCTTTCCTGTTTGACCCTGACTGCTGTTTCTTCTTCAGGCTTAACCGGATGTAGCTTGTCTTGAGCCAGCAGGTTCCTCACACCTTCCCAATGGGTGGAAGGAGAGGCTTTTGGTCAAAACCTCCTCGGAGCCTCTGAATGCAGCAAACAACAGATTCCAAAGTTGCTAGGATAGCTGGCCAGAGGCCAAGAAGAGAAATCAAACAGAAGTTAATTACTCAGCAATCTCTGGGCTTCCTTTAACTCCCACTCCCCCCCCCAAAAAAACATAAATAGCCAAATGTTAGATTAAGTAGAAAACACCTGTCAAGGTCTATAATGAAAATGAATTAAATTATAATCTGACAAGTCCATCCTCATCATGATTGTAAATCATAATTGATTGATTGGTTCATAAACCTTCCTGGACTTCTCTGGGACAGCAGGGTAATTGTTCCTGAGAGGGTCAGGTCAGGTTTGTGCTTGTGGAGAGCTCCCAGCAGATTGAGAAGCAAGTGACAAGTCACTGCAGTCTGAGGTGATGGCCGCTTAGATCCAGTGTGTAGAAAGCCCTGTGGGTGCTCAGGGCAGGACTCGGGCACCCAGCACGAGGGAGAGAGTATGGATGAGGTGGAGAGAGGAAGATGGACACTGAGGGTCGGTCCTTGGAGGGGAAGAAACAGGGCGCTCACTCCGACACCCATTGTTTTTCTGTTTTCACTCTGAATTGTGCTGTCATGATGCATGTCATGAAAGTTCAGGAGTGTGTGCCAACAGCTGTCAGACACTACAGGATAGACTGGGCGCTTTTAGAGCTCTAAGAGCTCCCCACCCCCACGCTTTCTCCCTTTACTCAATCCTGGGTTTCTGCCTAAAATTAGCATACACATATTCATGCTGTTTATAAACTGATAGGAATGTACCATCATGATTAGTAAATCTGGTATTTGGGGGGGTGCATAATAAAATAAGAATGAATTTAAATCCTGTGAGCAAGACTATAAGTTAGTGATGACTGCCCAAGTACTCAAAAATAATTCACCTTACAATTTTTTTTATTAGTTTATTTGTGCGGATGCTGGGACCAAACTAGCTGAGTCCACCATCCTGAGCAAGCAGATGATAGCCTCCGTGCCTGGGGTAAGTCCTGGCCGAGTTTCTGGTCTGTGCTTTCCTATTTCAATGAACAGTGTTTAGGAATGTAGGCCTTAAGACTGGGGCCTGAGTTTGAGACTTGGCATTTACTAGTGGTGACTTTGGGGTAAAGTGGCTCCCCGCTTTTCTGTCACCCCTGGAATGAGATGCAACAGGGTCTCATGTATACTGAGAACTGACTGAGATACTACACGTTAAACATTGTGCAGAGTAAATGTTGTTTATTAATGCCAGACATGGTGGCTCATATAGCAAGTGACAGATCAGAGGGGGCTCCATACAATGCCCCCCAGAAACAGCAGCAGCAGAATAATATTAACAAACATAATCTATGGGTGTTTTGTTTCAGTATGCTGCTTTGGTAACTGAGATGCAGCTAACATCTTTATTCTTAAAACTGAGTCCATACTTCAAACTCTTTATGATAGATGTTCATGGTGGGGGAGAACTGTTGCATCATTTTTAAGGGACTTTTGACAGTTGCCAGTATAATATGAGAAGGGGTGGGATCAAGTTTCATTTCATAGTAGCTCAGCACACAGAAATATGGTTTTTTTTTTCCCATGAAGTTTGCATGGGCATCCCGACTAGTCAGGGGATGGCAACTACCTCAGAGGTAGGCTCCTCTATGATCAACTGGTAAGGTCAGGGAAACAGAAGCAAGTCCAAACATGGGCGGCTTTCCTGGCCAGTCTAGACTCCCTGTCACTTCTGCCTGCCTTACACAAGGACAGGGGTACAGGAGAGGGTGGGAATGCTGTCCAGTCATGCGCTGATGAGGAAGAGTGAATCTGGGCAGGTGGCAGCTCCGCACACTCTCTGCCTGTGTGGATTGACTCCTTAGAGGATTATACTTGCTACCTCTGTGCTTGAGAAAAAAACGTACCCCTGCTCTGCAAAAGGTTTGACAGAACCAATGAAAAGAAGGCAGATCTAGCAACAGTGACAACAAAGTAATAGTTACAGGACCCTCCAGAGCCCTTTCCAGTGACACAAATGAGGCCATTCAAAAGACACCTTTTTTAAAGATTTATTTTTACTATTTTGTGCACATGGTTTGTCTGCACGTATAGCTAAGTATCACATGCATGCTTAGTCTCCAAGGAGGTGGTGAGACTCTATGTGGGTGCTGGGAATGGAACCCGGGTCCTTGGCAACAGCATGTGCTCTTAACCACTGAGTCAACTGTCCAGCCCCAAAAGGCATCTGTTACTTTCACCTGCCACCAATGAATGATACGTAAGCAAATTCAAGTACAGTAATAATAAAATATAAAATATCTAAAATACAAAAGTAAAATGGTTAATAAGCAGAAGTTTAATCTTTCTCTTAAAAAATAGAACCTTAAGGTTTGATTGACATGCAGGAGGCGGTACATCTGTGATGTATGAAACCGATGGATTTGGAGCCCTCACCACAGCATGTGCGTGTGCATCGTCTCTACAGGACCTCACTGTTAGAATCCCAATTTACACAAGAGCCGCTCTCAGTGCAAAGTCTTAAAATGCGCCGGCATTGCTGGCGGTGGGCACTATTGTCACCCAGTGGCACTGTGTTGGAGCCTTGTCCCCATTGGCAAATGCCTCCCGTTCTGCCCTCCTGAGCAGGTTCTTGATTACTAAACTCACTGGCGGGAAAGGGCAAGTGATGTTCTGACAAGCTCCTGGCGGGGGTGAAGCCAACCTTGGGGACAGTTTAACTTCTAGAAATGTGTCTGAGAAAACCAAAGGGCCCTAGATATGTTATAACCTAGTGGAACTTTTGAGGTATCATTTACAAATAACAAAAACATGAAACCAGGGGAATGCCCAACTGTTTACTTGAAGTTAGGTCCGCCCAGAAGGTAGACTTCTATGTGGATATCAAGCAAAGACTTCAGAGAACATTACTGCATCAGGAAATGCTTGTGATGCGTTTAGCTGAAGGACTATGGAGCTAAGGCCATGTCAGTCTTCCAACAGTTCCGAGTGTGTTAGGTGCCCTCAGCAGAGTGTTGGAAAGGAAATGTGAGCAGTGGCTTTCTCAGAAGAAACAAGCAGGGTCTAGGATGATGGGCTTTTAAATTGTTCCTCCTGATACTTCGCATTTTTCACCTTTCTACAATGAACTCGTGCTGTTTTTAAAATATAAGAAATACGGCCCTTAAACCAGATGGACTTAGAAGATCTGGGTGTGGCTAATTTCAGCTCACAAGCTTGAGGTTAGTGAGGATCCTTTGTTACTAGTTTCCTGTCAGATCAAGACAGATCCCTCTGAAACAGAGTATGGCCCCTTGGTCTATCTTTTTCTGGTGATGCATCTAAAGTTTTACAAAGGAAAGGGGGCTTGGAAATTACCAACTTGTGCTTTTAAAGTATAGATGGCTCCCCAATATTTTTCCAAGCCTCAGGTGGATTTTAAGGCTGGATATAGTTGCTGCCTGGCACTGGAACGGACTAACTGTGCAATGGTAAATATTGAATAATGTTCCTAGTGATTCTTTTCAGTGACATTTGCCTAGTTGAACTGGTATAAAATATCGCCTATGAAAGAAACAAATCCCTTTCAAGAAATTCAAGAGCAGAGTCTCCACTCCTATTTGCATGATACATGAAAGGTCAGAGTGAGGAATAAATCGAGGGTGGGGGAATCCTGTTTTTGCATTGAAGGATTCATATTGCAAAGCCGAGGCATAATACCCTTTTATAATTCCTTCACTGGATTTAAATTAAAAGGAGAAAACCTTACAACATGTGAAACGTTTGAAAACACTGACAGACTGGCCGCTGACCTTATTTTATTATTTGTTATCCTGTCAGAGGAATTGACAAGCGGAACATTCTAGAAGAGGGGAGGTGATACAGTTCAGCGCTGTGCAGATTTACATGAATATGGGGAAATGCAAGTCTCTGGGTGAGCTAGCTAAGTCTGTAATGTTCCAGATTTCCCTAAAGGAAGCCCAGAGAGGCCTTTAGCAGGGTATTCATGGGGCTTCAAAGACTGCCTGCCTTTGATCCGCATTGGTTCCCTGCCATGTGGGTTCTCTCGCAGGCACAGCTTTGATGCAGCAAGCCTGTCCATCCACTTTCCTCTGCTTCGCTCTGAACCCAGAGACCAGGTCCCAGCCAGGCCATAACCCGCCGCACAGCGTGCTTTTTCGTTCCTTTTGAAACTGACCAAACACACTTGAAGTCCGTCTCACTTCTTTCTTCTAGCGGGCTAGCCTAGAAAGAACTCAAAATGAATGCAAATGTCTATTTAATAAGACACTGACTGTGCATCACATGAAGTCAGACCGTGACTTGATTTGAAAAGAACTTTTGACTCTGCAAACAGGATAGGATATGTGTACAGTGCAGGTAAAAAAATGAGTATATTAGTGTTAATCTTGATGGTGCACATCTCATCCTGTGCACCCAAGACTTCCCTGGAGGCTCTAGTAGCATCAGTTAGGCCGACTCTTGTGTTTATACCAGTTTTAAAGCAAGCAAGCATCACTTCAATTCCTGGTGGGAACAGTCACTAATTTCATTTGTTTTGGGCCTTCTGGTTTCTTTGGTCTCTACCATAAACTTATAAACCGGTTTAGTACTGAAGGTAGCAGTAGGGGAGAGACAGAGGATGACGCAGCTTTAGAGCGACATTGCGGTGCCAGTGAGGAGCTGTGGCTGAGCCGTGTCCCTGTGTTTCAGTGTGGGACGGCAGCGATGGAGTGCATTCGGCAGTACGTCAGTGAAGTCCTGGACTTCATGGCAGACATGCACACCCTAACCAAGCTCAAGGTAAGCTGGCGTCCGCCTGCTCTCCCCTCAGGGTTTAAAACTCAGAGTTTCCCGAGAATGATGTAGACCCACCAGGGAATTTGTTGCTCCTTACAGAAGCAGCTGCAGCACTGTGGAATGAGCCCGTTTCTTGGGGAGTTTGAAGAATTGGGGTCCAGTAGTTCTGCAAAATAAAAAAAAGGAGGGTCCCAGGGCAGCAGCTTTTCGTGCAGTTTTTAAAATACTTACTCCATTCTGACAGTGTCCATATTCAACACAAGTCCCATTAAAAACGTAGAAACTGAGGCTTGAGCCATGTAGACCTGATGTCAAGGTTACACTCCTCCGGAACGGCGATGTCAGGGTTGAACCCCAGGCTGCTATGAGCCCTGGTGGATTCCCCTTCTACACAGCCAGAGCTACTGTGATACCTACAGTTCTGTTTCCTCCTCTGCCAAGGGAGCCCGCAGGCTCCTCCCTTGTCTAATGTGCTCAAGATGGATACAAAACAACACAGGAAGACTGTGGTCCATTACAGGAGCTCAAGCCAGCTATTGTTTGTATCCACTTTGAAGCTGTCTCTTTAAGAAAATAACGAAGGGGACAGAACAAAATTCAATTTACATATGAGCAAAGCCTCAGTGCATTTGTTGAGTTTATTGTTTGTTCGGGGTTGTGGTGGTGGGGTAAGGGGTGTGGCGGGGGAGGGGTGTGGTGGGGTGAGGGTGTGGTGGGGGAGGGTGTGGTGGGGTAAGGGGTGTGGCGGGGAGGGGTGTGGTGGGGGAGGGGTGTGGTGGGGTGAGGGTGTGGTGGGGTATAGTGAGGTAAGGGGTGTGGTGGGGTGAGGGGTATGGTGGGGTGAGGGGTGTGGTGCGGGAGGGGTGTGGTGGGGTGAGGGTGTGGTGAGGGGTGTGGTGAGGTGAGGTGTGGTGAGGTGTGGTGAGGGTGTGGTGGGGTGGGGTGAGGTGTGGTGAGGTGTGGTGAGGGTGTGGCGGGGTGTGGTGGGGTGGGGTGTGGTGAGGTGGTAAGGGGTGTGGTGGGGTGAGGGTGAGGTGAGGTGGGGTGAGGGTGTGGCGGGGTGAGGGTGTGGCGGGGTGTGGTGAGGTGAGGTAAGGGGTGTGGTGTGGCGGGGGAGGGGTGTGGTTGTGGATGGACGACTGATGCAGGTGCCTCTCTAGTCTGACAGAACTGAGGAGGGCTGTGGACACGGGCAGATGATTAGCTGAGCGTGGTCCAGAGAGTGGCACTGCTTGATTGACCTTGTGACAATCAGGAGACCACCAGCTGAGCGCAGGGCTTCCTCACTAGGCACCGTCTGCATTCTGCTCAGGCAGCCAGGGCGTTTCTTGTTACAGTCACGGGGAGAACAGCAGAGACAAGGGGGCAGAAAGCACCTGCCGAAACCCAGGCATTTGGGAGTGAGCGCCCTGTCCTTTAGTCATAATCTGTCACCAGTCACTGACTCTAGTTACAGGAACCTAAATGGCTTTGGTACAAAAAGAAGAGGTAACAAAAACTGTCACAACATTTTGAGCTTGTTTTACAGAAACTTCTGAAAAAATATTCACAAGCATCAGCGATAGTTGAAAAGTTTATACAATCCAACCCTTTGACCGTTAATTCATATTAGAGAGCAGATAAAAACCCTCAAGTAGCTACAAGGTTTGGTACGGGAGCTTTCAAGAGGGGTGGTCAGACGGACTCCTGGGAAGCAAGGAATCTAATAGAAACTCCTTAGGGCCCCTGAAGAGGGTATTCAGAGCCCACATCGCCCAAGTGGGGTTCCTCTCTGAGGATGGAGGGTCTGTCACAGCAGGAGCATGCAACCAGGGTCTCTGATTCACAGGCAGGAGGCAGGGAAGGAGGGGGTGGGGTGACCGCCAATGCCCCCTTTGTTGTAGTCTCTATTCCCAGATGAAGGCTCCTGGCACTGGGAAGTCTGTTATCTGGGGCTCTGGACAATGTCTCGTAGGTGACCGTGTCTATAGAAGAGAACAGCTGTAGGGAACTGTGGTCAGAGCAGCAGCTGGATTCCAACACTGCTTCCTTAAGTGCCAACTGGCTTATCCATGGTCATCGGCTACTAGAACCTATGTCTCAAGTCCCTGAGCAAAAGAAACCTTCAAAATTAATTTAGCAAATATGTACTCAGTGTCTGAATTATATTTAACACTATTATAGGCATCAGGATTACACTGGTGGGCAAACACAAGATACAGACACACTAGCTGTCCTCGGCCAGGGTTTCTGAATATTTTGCATAAGCTGAAATAAAGCTGTGGTTTTCACAATTGCTATAAAGAAGCAGTAGACAGTGGCATGGACCTGGCTGGGAGGCTCAGGGAAGGCAGTCGAAGGAAAGTGATACTTGAGCTAAATTTGAACAATTCAGCAAAGAAAGGCAATATTTCAGTTAGAGGAACAGGAGTCGGGCAGCAGAGCCAGCACAATGGAGCCCAGAATGGAGGATGGGGAATAATGCAGAGGCCTGGACAATTATAAGCCACAGGTTGGTCCCTTTGGCCCTGTCCTGCCGCACTCCCAACCCCCAGCTCTTAACCTAAGATCAGTGGGAAACCATTTAAGAAGTTAAGCAAGTTGTTTGCCCAGAGTGCTATTGGGTGGGGTTGAGAACAACCTGACCTTCCAGGTGCCATTTGATTTTACAGAGTCACATGAAGACGTGCTCCCAGCCTCTGCACGAGGACACCTTCGGTGGCCATCTCAAAGTTGGATTGGCTCAGATTGCAGCTATGGAAATCTCCCGGGGCAACCACAGAGATAACAAAGCTGTGGTCCGCTATCTGCCTTGGCTCTACCATCCTCCCTCTGCGATGCAGCAAGGGTGAGGCACTTCTTGTTTTTAAAGGGAGAGCACTGGAGAGACAGCTCCATGATTAAGAGCACTGGCTGCTTTTCCACAGGACCTGGCTTTGATTCCCAGCACACGCGTGACAGCTGTCTGCAACTCCTGTCCCAGGAGAGCTGACACCCTCTTCTGGCTTTTGTGGGTCCTGCACATACATGGTGCACAGACACACATGGAGGCAAAACACCCACATACACAAAGTAAATTTAATATGGGGGAGGGGCAAATGAGCAGACTGCTCCTGAATCCCAGAGACTTAGCTGGAGCTCATGGCTGTGTTGAAGATTTATAGGAGTAGCGAGCAAAAGCAGGAGCTCCGTCTGCCCCTCCCCCACCCCAGGATGCCAGGGGAAAGCTTTCTGATGAGAAGAAAGAAAAGGGTCTGGAAAGAGGGACAGCCAGACTGGCTGAAGGATGTGGAACCTTGCCCCACCAAAGCTGCTCCTTCCTGAAGGGAAGATCCAGGATTGGAGCAGAAAGTAAGACAAATAGCTAAGACACTTGCCGTGGCATTTCGTTTTATGCACTTGCCCGGGAGACCACACCTTAATCCCTTCTTCCACTAAATATTCACTGGCTTTGAAGGGAAGAGAAAACGTAAAGCCACCCTTGCTTAACTCGTCCTTTCTGTCCTGACAGACCTAAGGAATTCATCGAGTGTGTCTCCCACATCCGGCTGCTGTCCTGGCTGCTCCTGGGGTCCCTCACACACAATGCGGTCTGTCCTAATGCCTCCTCCCCCTGCCTTCCCATACCTCTGGATGCAGGTTCGCACATTGCAGACCACCTTATTGTTATCCTAATTGGATTTCCAGAGCAATCAAAGGTAAGTGATTTCTGCAAGATTCAGACCAAGTGCATTGGAATTGCTAATGGAGACCCTTATCAGCCAATTAGTTTCTTCTGAGAAGTAAAGGCATTTAGGCTCACCCTCCTGTGGCTGTTGGGAAAGTAACTCTGTGCTAATGCCTTACTTAAAGTTGTTTAAATTCCCAGGCTGTCTTTTCTCCCCCTAAATTGTTTTCTGCCTTGCTTTTATGGAGATACATTTTAGAGGCAAGAAAGAGTTGGTTTCCTAGGCATTTTTGTCTCAAGACAATATAGAGAAATAACAGGCTACAAATACAATAAACATTCTGTGTTCAGTTTTCAGAAACAAGGATGAAGGGGGGGTGTCAGGATGTGTGCCCCATTGTGTACTACCTTTCAATTCAAACCCTTTAGGACACATGAATACGCAGCATGGAAATAGGGCTAGCGCTAGCGTGCACTCAGAGCAGCACACTGGAATCACCCACACAGAGGGAGTTTGCAATCCGCAGACAGATGGCGGCCTTGAGGGAATGTAAGAAATCCCAGGCAGACCTAAGCCATGACACCCCAAGTCAGCTACCCAGAGCTAAGGGCCGGTCCCAGAGCTTAGGCAAGCTCTAGGAGAGCCCAGTGTGTTTAAGAGATGCTGAGACTTAAGCCATGGCAAGCTCTGTGAGAAGATAAACATGTCTACCCAATTGACCCACATGATTCTTGCAAAAGGAGCTGTCTCCACCCAGACTTGTGTTTGATCCTTAAGGGTGGTACTTGTCCCTTTGAGCCCCAGCCTTTCGTGGCTCCAAGGACTTGACCTGATGGGATAGTGGGGGAATTAAGAAAAGACAGCTACACAGAAAAGCTGGGATCGGGCAGACAGGACTATCAGACAAAGAAGCCAAAACTGCAGTGTGTTTTATTATATAAAGTTGAACAGAGGGGCGGGGTTATTACAGACAGCTGAATGAAGCGGTGTGGTGGTTACGTACGGATAAATACGAAGGCAGGTTTGTGGTCTACAGCTGGACGAGGAGGCCGGTTTAACTTATCTCATAGGAGCAGTCTCTGTAAGGAGAGTAGTCTTCAGGCTGTAAACATCTGGGAACAGGGAGATATGGTGGACGTTTTGCGCATACACTGTCAACATCTGCACACGGAGCAGAAGAATGCTTTGTCATCCCTCTGGGCCTCACCACGTGGCGGGAGGCTTTGCCTTTTTTCCATGGGTCTGAGGCTAGGTTCCTTGACATTGTCATGCCCATGCCAATAACACACTCTGGCTTAACGTGTCAGTCAGGGCTCCCTCTGCTCCTCACAGCCTTGGTGAACTGGAAAAAGTTACTTAGCCCTTCCTCAGCTCAGTTCTTCATCTGGAAGCAGATAGCAGGGTGGGCTGAGAACATGGAGGTGGTCTTGGAAAGCCCCCATGCTGTAGCAACTGCGGCATGTGTGCTCACCACTGACAGGCATTCAGTCGACACTGCTCTGCGCCATGAGATTCTTAGTGCAGGGCAGGGGGTCTTGCCTGCCTCTCATTTACTCCTCGCCCAAACCCTTCAATGGGCTTACTTATCCCTATTTTGTAGATGTGGGAACATGCTAACATAGCAAAATAGAGCCACTGTTTTCCTGACCCAGCTTAGGGATGGAAATGTCAGTCTCATAAAAGGACAAGGCAGTGGGTAGATTTGCACTGCAAATTCAGGCGTGTTCTCCTGCAAAAGAGGCTTTTCTCCGAGCACACTTGCACTGGCAGAGAAGAGCCCACTCAAGGCACAGAACCAGGAGTCCGGGGCTGGGATCATTCTCTGTGCATCTTCTGTGCTCCCCAGCAAGGCCGTCTGCCGTGAGCACAGAGCAACACGAGTCCTCTTCCTTTCCAGACCTGTGTGCTGCACATGTGCTCCCTGTTCCACGCTTTCATCTTTGCTCAGCTCTGGACCGTGTACTGCGAACAAAGCGCCGTGGCGACAAACGTGCAAAATCAGAACGAATTCAGCTTCACAGCAATACTAACAGCTCTGGAGTTTTGGAGTAGGGTGACACCCAGCATCCTTCAGCTGATGGCCCACAACAAAGTGGTGAGTTCGTGAAGAGCCCTCTGAGCTAAAGCAAACGCAAAGTGAAACTCACAAATAAGTGTGCAACATAGTGTGGGCCAAGTGACTTTATTTAGCCATGCCACTATATCAAAATGTCACATCGAAGGTCATGAATGTTAAAAGAAAACAACCAAATACAAAGCAGACAAGTTTTGTCTTTTCTACCTAGCGCTAAATGAATCCTGTATGAGATTTCTACCTTTAAAATGGTGTAAAGACAGACAATTAGGAGAAAAGGCCTCGTCAGGTTTGGATTCCAACACAGTGTGTAAACTTCCACCACTGGGTAATCTTTCTGGCATAGTCTGAGAGCAGACTAACAACAGGAGATCATTTTACCCGAGGCTCACAGCCGAGAGGGGCTGCTATATATTATACTGGAAACATCTGGCAAATGCTTAGCTGTACCCATTTTATTAAACAACCTCGGATGGTCCTTCTGGAGCCCGCTGGAGGTGTGTGGGAGCTATTTGTGAGAGACCCCAGGGTTCAGTTGGTGTTTGAAGGATTCTCAGCTGAAGGGGCAGGAGCCAGTGTCTTGGTTACAAGGGCTCCATGGATGCAATGCTCATCGGTAACACCCAGAAGTACATTCCAGCATTCCCAGGACCCCACGCCATCCCCCTGGCCACAGAGGTATTTGGGCATGGTGTCTTAACTGAGAAATATTTTCTGCTAACATTTTGTAAGGAAGGAGGATTCTATATTTTCTTTATTGAAGCATTTGCATCTCTGGGGAAGAAGGTATTATAATTTTATTTATGAAAGAAGGATGTTTGGTTCAGTTAAGGAAATTTATGATCGTGTTAGGGTTCAAAAACCGTTCCTGGTTCTAAGGAGATAATCACATTTATTGGGTCACAGTTCTGTGACCAATACAGAACTCAGGGATCAGATATTATATTATTTTGGAGACACCAAAACTGGAGCTTTACATGTTATGCTAGAGATTAGCATTTTCATCCAGTGTCAGCATTTTGGTGTCAGTGCTCTCCTCCAAATCCCTCTTGACATTCAAATGTTACAAGTGAGCATGTCTCCAAAGTGTTTCTTACATATAATGTTATATGTGAATTTTAATTTATTCTCTTTTTGTGGGAAGTTTATTCAACTTGGTAAAGCATTCTAAAACCTCCCTGGGATTTAAAATCCATCCCTAAGGATTTTCAAGGAGGGGCACAATTTTGTTTGATCTGGTGTGAGTGTGGCTACCTTTGCCATGGGGATAAGATCTGAGAGGAAGATCTGTAGTGCATTGAACCACGAGACCTCCCTGAGTGGAAAAAGGATCAAGATGGAGAAAGAGACTGGCCCTGGAGGCAGTGAAGCCTTGCGTTCTCCGATGGGACCCACCACGCCCGGCAAATCAGTGAGAGCCATCCCTGAGCTCCAACAGCAGCAGCCTCGGGCTCTTTGGGCTCTTCGGAAAGTCTGCTTCTGGTGTAAGGTTTCAGAAGTGAGTGGAAGCCACTCTGTGGTCCCCAGCTGTTAGGCCGGGAGACCTTCTGGGTGCAGGGTACCAGTCCTCTGTGGCTGCTGATGAGTTTACAGGTTTCTCATTCACTGTGAGTAGGACTGACTATGATGTTTGTTGTTTCAGATGGTAGAAATGGTGTGTCTCCATGTGATTAGTTTAATGGAGGCATTGCAAGAATGCAATTCAACCATTTTTGTCAAGGTAGGAGAAACTTCTGATTCTTATAGATCTTTTTGTACTGCTAGAAATAAATATGGATTTGTTTTGCATGTGCGGTATAAAGAGGGGGAAAGACTAGGTTCAGTTTAAACTCGTAGAGTTGGGGCTGGAGGATACGGCTTCTGCAACATCTTACCGTGTGGCTACTTCGCCATGTCTGTATTCCCTATACCACTGTGATGCATTCTTCCATGGCAGAGCGTGGCCGTGCATAACACAGGCGTCAAATAGATGGGGAACATTGCTTTGAAAGCAGCTCTATGACAATGCAAAAGCCACCTAGAAAACTAAAGAAATGACTGTGCAATTGTTTGACCTGTCACCAGCCGCTCTCTCTGACATAGTTTAGTCTTGTGTGTTATTACTTTAAGTGTAAGTGTACAAGAAGATAATTCAAGCATTCATCATCTTTCAGAAACAGCAGAGTATGATGTCAGATTAAAGAGTGAGGAGGACCTGGTAAGAGCATGGCTACCTGTGCCACCAGGAGTAAACCCCGAGAGGCAGACCTGCTCTTTTAGCTCCTCTTTTTCCTCTGTATCTGCCATTCCTCCTCTTTATCCCACTGATGACTTCTCCCCCGACCGCATCTTTTCTTTACCTTCTACTCTGAAATTCTTGCCTTGGCCTCTACCACCATCACCACTCAGCACAGGGCATCAGTTTGGAGCGTGTTGATTCCCTCCTTAGCTTGCTCCCCTCTTCCTGAAGGACTCCTGCTGCTCCACTATCTCAGGCTGTGCTGAGGAAAAGCAGCCCATTTGCAGGGAATACTCAACGGATACCAGACATTGCAAGGTCTTTGGTTCAAATGAAAGAGCTATGTCTTATGCAGCTCAACACAGGAAAAAGTCAACAGTGTGAGAAAAACTGGCAGCTGGATGATCCTACCTGATTTTTATGTTTTACAGTTTCTTTACAGTGTAATTTACATGGATTTACAAATGCTACACTGGCCATATTTAAGTTGTGTGCTTTGATGAGCCTTGGCATCTTTTACAATTATTCATTTATCATAAGTGCATGTGTATATGTGTAGGTATTGCTACGATGTGCATTGTTATCATATGTGTATGTGTATATGTATGTGTGTTTACTGCTATGGAATACATGTGTAATCAATGTGCATGTGTGTGTATAGTGTAATTGAGTGTGTGTGATCAAATACTCATGTGTGTGTATTAATGTAGGTGTACTGCTATGGAGTACATGTGTGATCAATGTGTGTGTGTGTGTGTGTGTGTAATGCAATTGAGCATGTGTGTGATCAAATATGCATGTGTGTGTGTAAGCGTACTGCTATGGAGTGCATGTGTGATCAACGTGCATGTGTGTGTGTAGTGCAATTAAATGCATGTGTGATCAAGTGTGTGTGTGAGTGTGTGTGTGTGTGTGTGTGTGTGTGTGTAGGTGTACTGCTATTTGGTACATGTGGAGCTCAGAGGATGACTTCAGAAGCCTATTCTCCCTACTTCCTGCGTTCCTGGAATTGAACTCAGGGCATCAGCATGTTTGCTCACTAAGACATCTTACTAGTCTTACCTCAATTGCTTCTGTGACCCCATCACCACAGTCAAGAGAATGAACATAGCTGCCACCCCTAGAACATTCTTATACTTCCTTACAGTGCCTCTCTGTTCTGCTACTTCCTGTCCCCAGGCAACAATTGATCTGATTTCTGTCATGTTTATACTCTAGAATTTACTATGAATGGATTCATACTGTGCATATATATTTCTGCCTTCTTCATCTTAGAACCATTATACTGAGATTAATCTATGTTGTTACATGCATCGATTGGCCACTAGTTTTTACTTTTGATAGCAGTCCATTTTATACATTTAGTACACATGGCTTATCCATTGGTGTCAGCTGGACATCAGAAAGGTCTTATAAAAGCCACTGTGAGTGTGTACATATTAATCTTTGTGCATGCATGCTTTGTGTTTGCTGAGTTAATAGCCAGAAACAATGGCTGGGTTGTTTGTTGATGTGTGGTTATCTGTTTAAGAATGTGGCAGACTGTCTCCAAGGTGCCTGTGCTCTGTTATGTTCACTTTAGTTGTGAAAAGCATTTTAGTTCATCCGTGGCACCCAATATAGTGTGTAGTAATTATCATTGTGATGTTTATAATGTGCATATGTTATATGATGTAGTCATTTTGTTTTGTTTTGTTTTGTTTTGTTTTGTTTTTGTTTTACGAGACAGGGTTTCTCTGTATTGTTTTGGAGGCTGTCAGTCCAGCCTGGCCTCGAACTCACAGAGATCTGCCTGCCTCTGCCTCCCGAGTGCTGGGATTAAAGGCGTGTGCCACCATCGCCTGGCTTGATGTAGCCAGTTTTAACATTAGTCATTCTGAAAGTTGGGTACCAGCATCTTGCTGTGGTCTAAATTGTGTTTTTCTACTGACAGATGATGCTGATGTCTTCTCATTTGATTGTTTTGTATATATTTTCTTGGTGAAGTGGCTGTTTTATTTGCTCATATTTTATTTGGTTGAATTTTTCTTCTTTTTGTCTTTTTTTTTTAATTGAGATGTACAAAGCCTTTGTTAGAATGTGGTCTCAAGGATTTTTCCTGTGGGTTGCCCTTTCATTGTCTAGACAGTATAAAGTGTTGTTTTTTTTTTTTTGGTGAAGAATCATTTATCAGGTTTCTCCTTCCCTCTACTACCTTCTTTTGACAGTGTCTCATATAGCCAAGGCTGCCTTAGACCTACTGTGTACCCAAGGCTGGCTTTGAACTCCTAATCCCCCCAGTGCTGAGATTCCAACATGCACCATCATGTCCCATTCTCATTTTTTCCTTTAGCATTTTGGCGTTGTAATTCTAGAAAGCATCCGCCTAACCCAAAGCCCCGTAGAGTTCCTTCCTTTCACTCTTGTCTTCCTTCTTGTCTTCCTCCTCCCTCCTTACACTTCCTTTGGTGACCGTGCCTGGTTGAACTCACAGTCCTCCCTCCGCAGCATCCCAAGTCTGGGTTTACACGGGCACAAGCCTGTGTCAGACATCTTTGTTTTACTGCAGTTTTTGTATGTGTTTTCTTCTGCACACTCATGCCTGTGATCCATTCGGAGCTGAATTGTGTGGTGTGGGGCATGTAGTAAGGAACTTTTCATGTCTATCAGATGTGATTATTCTAGCCTCATTGTTTGAAACACTGTTAATTCTCTATCAAAATGCTTTTACACTTTTGTGTATGTGTATGTGTTCATGTCTGGATTCTCCCTCCTGGTCCATTGCCTTCTTACTTCCATGCCACGTTGTGTGTGGCCATCATGTCACAGCGATCATGGTCTGGCCTCTTATCCAATCTTTTCAAAGTAGTTTGACATTTATAGGTACTTTGCCTTCACAGATAAGTTTTAAAATCAGCTTTGTCAATTCCTACAAAACGACTTGGAATTTGTTGGGATTTCTTTGGGTCCCAAGGTTGGGGAAAAATTAGCCTTAACAGTATCGAGCCTCCTGACCCAGAGACACTCCGTCTTTACATTTGTGTGCCTTCAGCTTCTCTCAGAAATACTGTACGGCTCAGAAATATTTCCAAGACTATCGCATCATATTCCTGCCAATTTTATTCACAAACATGTCATATTTCTGTGCTATTATGACTTTTTTGCATTTAAGCTTCTGATTATTCATTGCTAGTATTAGGAATACATCTAGCTTTTTTTTAACCTTGCACCCTACATCTTATTAAGTTCTATTCACTGTGGCTTCTTTGCATAGTGTCTTAGGGGATGATGAAACTCACTGGTTTCAGTCCTGTCTCTTTTCCAGCATAAATAAATGATCAGGTATTAGAGCTCTAAGTGTCCTTCAAAGATCCAGGTGAGCGGCAAGAATGGCTTTGTACATTGTGCTACTACTTCATGTAGGTTGATGTTCTAACTGCTATTTTGCTTTGCTTTCTTTGAATCCTTGATTATTAGACGTAAATTGTTCAGTTTCTAGATATTTGAGCATTTCTAGAGGCCCTTCCATTGTGAATTTCTAATTGAATTCCCTTCTTGGCAGAGAGCATACTCCCTGTGCTTTCAATCATCTTGAATGTTTGAGATTTGTATTTTGCTTAGAATATGGTCTTAGTAATTACTCCACATGCCTCAGAGAAGAAAGGGACTGCTGTTTTGCGTGGGGTTTGCTGTCAGTTGTCACAAACTTGTTGAGTGTTGATCAAGTCTCTGTCCCGTTGGTGTCCTTCCTTCTGTATCTGTTTACATGAACTCTGTGGGATGGGAGTATCTGGATGCACTGTAATTTGTGAATTTGCTCTGTCCCTTTCCAGTTATGTCAGTTTTGATTTCAGTTCTGTCAGTTTTCTCTTATCAGGATTGTATATTTGGGTTTGTTGTGTTTCCCCGATGACTTGAATTACTACGAAAGGTCACCCTTTATCCTTGGCAAAAAATTTCCCCTAAAAGCTACTTTGTCTAATGTTGATAAAAGCAGAGTAGATTTTTCTTGGCTAGTGTTACGATGGTAAATCTATTTCCATCTTTTTTAACTGTGTCTATTTGTAAATTGTATTTCTTACAGACAGTGTGTCATTAATTGTCTTTTAAAAAGCATCCAATTTGAAGCCTCTTCCTTTTGGTTAAAGTCTTTAGGCCGTTTTCATTTAATGTGGTTTGTCACATTGTTGGGTTTAACTATCAGCTTTTCACTTGTTTTTTGTATTTATCATCTGTTCTTTGCCCTCTGTTCTGTTCTCGTTTCTTTTTTCAGATTGAGAATTTTATGACTTAATTCTGATTATAATGTTCCTCTGTTTCATTTTTTAAGATGGAAATTTGGGTCATTAATTTGAGAGTTTTCTTTTCAAACACCAGTGTTTAGAGCAGTGGTAGCATATCAGATATTTACATTATGATTCATAACAGTAACAAAATTACAGTTATGAAGTAGCGAAGAAATAATTTTATGGTTGGGAGTCACCACACCATGAGGAACTGTATTAGAGGATCACAGCATTAGGAAGGGTGAGAACCACTGATTTAGAGTGTCCTTTTAGGTAATGCTTTCAGTACTTTCCTTCAATTTGGTACATATTCACTTTCACTGAGTTAAAAACACTTCCTAATTTCTGTTTTAGCTTTTTGCTTGACCTATAGATTTTTTAGAAGTATTTTAAATTATCTTCTTAGGTGTATGCCATTTTTATTTTTAATGGTTGATTTTGAGTTTATAGTGTGTATATTTTATGTTTTATGATCTTCAAGTAATAATGCATTTTCATTGTATCCATTCCCACCTCCTGGCTCTTTACATATAAACCAAATCACACATTGTAAAGATAAGCATGATGATGGTGATGGTGATGACGGTGATGATGACTTCGGTGATGGTGATGATGGTGATATACTAGGGTTTAAAGTAAGGCCATGTAGTTTTTTAAAAAGCATCCAACTTGAGATGATTCTACCATGAAACCACCCTCAGTTCTTTTAACTTTTTACCTTTTGATATAGTGTCTTACCAAGTTGCCCGGGTAAGCCTTGAGCTCATTCTGTAGCCTAAATAAGACTTGAACTTATAATGGTCTTGCCTCAAAGTCTCCTAAGTAGCTGAGATCACAGGCCTGTGCCATCTAGGTGCAATCTTGCTGTTTTGGACTTACATAGTCAACACTCTCTTAAAGAGGTCAGAAATGGGTTTAAAATTTATTATACTTTCTATTGTTTCCATTTGCCATTTTCTTTTTTAAGGTTTGTTTTTGCTTTTATTCATGTGTATGAATGTGTGAGTGTATACCACATGTGTATGGGTGCCTGCTGACACCAGAAGAGGGTGTTGATCTCCTGGAGCTAGAGTTACAGGCAGTTGTGGGCCACCTGATATAGGTGCTGGGAACTGAACCTGGGTAATCTATAGGAGTAAACATGTTCTTGACCACTAAGCCATCTCCAGCCCATGTGTTGGCCGTCATCTCTTCAGCCCTCACATTGGCATTTTCCATTTCTTCATGCTCAAACATCTGCCTTCTGTTATCAGTCCTTTTTTATTTTTAAGAAACGCATGTCTTACATGCTGATAATTCATTACTTTAGCTTTTTATGTCTCAAAATATTTTGCAATATTTATTTATATTTTGAGACAAGGTCTTACTATATAGGCCAAGCTGACTGTGAATTTCTGTAATCCCCCTGGAAATACAGGTTTATGCCATAATACCCTGTTTGCAGTGCTTTAAATATCTGATGCCCCTGGGTACTGGGCTCTAGCGTCACAGTCACCCAGTAGCTTAGAGGTGTTGTGACCCACTGTCTGCTCTCCTGCCGCCTTCCCAGGAGAAGTCTGCTGCTTCCTGTCCTTCCTCAGATGTTAAAATATGCTCTTTCCCCCTGCTTTGAAGAGTTTATCTTAACCACTGTTGTAAGGGGTTAGAACATGACTCATCTCAGTAGAGTTTTCTCCCTATTTCTCCTTTTTTTGAGTTTGCTGAGATTTGGGGCTTATAGATTTTTCTTTAATTTGGGGAAGCATTGCCATTGTGGTTTTTTAAAGTGTTGTCTTTAGGGCTCCACCTGACAGTCTCAGCCTTTCTTCTTCTTGATCTTCCTGCATGATAGGCATAGCAGGGTTGATAAGGCACTCAGCAGGCAAAGGCACTCACACTGTCACCAGCTTGATGACATGGGTTTGATGCCTGGAGTTCTTATGATGGATAGAGAGAACAGATTCCTGCAAGTTGTTCTCTGTTCTACACACACACACACACACACACACACACACACACACACACACACACACCACACATATACACACACACCACACACATGCACACATGCATGTACATACTTAATCAACAACTGTTTTTAATTAAAAAATAGGTGTGATGGTCCTTTTACTATCCTTGTCTGCTAAGTCTATTGTCTGTCATTTTGGTCTGTCTTCTATTGACTGGTTTTCTTCTTATTTGTGGGTCATTTTCCTGTTTCTTTGAATCATGTCTTGCCTGGTGGTGTTTTGGTTTTTTTCAACTGGATTCTTGATATTTTTGGGTGCTGGCTGATTTTATATTCATCTGTACATTCTTGGGCTCATTCAGTGACATAACTAAATTACACACAAATCTTTTAACCATTCCTAGGCACGCTTTTCAGCTTTATCAATTGAGATGGGAGTGGCACCTTCCTTGTCTGGTGCCTCTTCAGTAGCATCATGTGTGATCCACCGGCCTTATGGCCACACGAACACTTCCCACCCATCCCCTACGCCCCAGTGAACACAGGCTCTTCCTGATCTATGTGACCAGCCAGGGATATTTCCCCCCAGTCACTGGCCATCGTCTTTTCTTCAGTGCTGGGTGTTTTTCCTGCTGGTGTACGCTGGTCATTTTTCAGCTGGCATGCAGGGAGACCTTTTGTGGGTCTGTGGCACCCTGTCTCTGTGTGTAGCTCTTCTTCTCCCCTTTCTCTGGGCAGCTCTCCTCTCTCCAGTGTGCCCTGCAAACTTCAGCCATATGAAATAACAGATTCATCTTCAGACCGTGGCAGGCTGCCTCTGCAGGCAGACTCTCTCTGCATGCCCAGAAACCACTCCTGGTTTACATTGACCACCAAGCACTCTCCACACTGGACCCTGGCTCCAATTTCCATGCCTTCATCTTTCTTGAGCTGTCTCCATCATGGTTCTGTTCATGGTGAATGGGGTGCCACTCTGTCCCTCTATGGGAGGCATTCTGAATTTGGAATGAGGCCCATTTCCCCTAAAGGGACATTCAGGGTCATCTGTGGCTCATGGAGGCTTGCTTGGCCTTTGTTTTCTAAACCCCTTTTCCATGACTCTCTCCTAAGAATCTTCCTCATTGGCACCCATGAATCCCTCCAATACCTTATTGCTCGGCAAACTCCCACAGCTGTATCCATGCTTTATCCCTTCCCAAAGCACTTGTATTCCTTCTAGAGGGCCATGGTGAGAACCTCAGACTGGGTGACTTAAATATCAGAAGTGTGTGCTTTCACAGGTCTTGGAGGTTGGAGGGCTGAGAGCAAGGTACTAGCTTCTCCCGGGACAGTGAGAGGGCATCTTCCTGCCTCTGTCATAGCCTTTGGCAGATCTTTGGCATCCCTTGGTCTGTGGCCCTCTGTCTTCACGGTGTTCTCCCCATGTATCTGCATCCGGACTCCCCTCTTCATAAGGATGCCAGAGGCCCTGCTGCTCCACTCTGACCCCTCTTAACTGACTGCATCTTAAACAGCACCATTTCCAAATAAGGCCACATTCTGAGTCACTGTGGGCTAGGACTACAATGCAGATTTTGTGGAAATACAATTTAATCCACAATAGCCCTACTGCTGCGTTGGAGTGACAGTTAGAAGGAACACAGAGTGAAACGTCACAGTGCCTATCAGTGTATGAAGGTACGGAGAAGTGCCAAAATAAACCACCATTTCCAAGTTTACTGGATTGTCATCCCTTGTCCCGTGTACATGTCACCAATGAGATTTCAAGGGACACATCAGAAAATGGACATTATGCTCTCTCCCTGACTTCTGGGTTTACAATGCTATGAACATTTACTCACATTTTAATGGGTCGATGTGTGACCAAGCGGTGAGAGCTGAGAGCTGGGAGCTGCCGCTGGAGACAGATGTCACAGGGCTGTATGACCCCAAGGATGTCACAGGGCTGTATGACCCCAAGGATGTCACAGGGCTGTATGACCCCAAGGATGTCACAGGGCTGTATGACCCCAAGGAAGGGGCACTTCAGAGCCACAACAGAGACAAACTCTGTCTTATGGGCACCCACACCTTAAGAATTCCCAGTTCCACCTTGCCTTCTAAACTCTTTCCACGGCTTTCCTGTGAACCTGATCCCAGCCCCTCAAGCATCCCCCACCCTGCTTCCCACACACTCCCTGGAGCTGTGTGGGTCCAGTCTTTACTTCCCCCCTTACTCAGGTACTTTCAGGGCTCTTTTTCTGTCGTGGACATTTCAGGGGTATTCTGCACCCTGCCCTGTGGTACTCTCTTTCCAGCTACAGGCAAACTGAGTCGCCCTTCCTCTCAGAGCCTTGACTCCAAAGATCCTGATGAGGAAATCCCATTTCAAGAAAGTGGGGGATTTAATTAAATAAATACACATTTAATTTCCCGTGCTTGGTAGCTTTCAGGAGACCACTGGTCACTTACTCTAAAGTGTATGTTTTAAGTGTCTGTGGGGCACTTATTAGCCTCCGAAGGTTGCCATCTCAGTGGGATTTAGCCTGAAAAAGACACTGCTGATAACAGTGGCTCTGTGGCAAGCACACATCTCTTGTGGTGCTGAGTGGATTCTGTACAGCCCGTGTTCCCATATGCTAATGGAAGCGGATGTGGGAGAACGGGAGACAGCAATAACCAGCCTCCTGTCTCTCTCCATACAGCTCATCCCTATGTGGTTGCCAATGATCCAGTCAAATACAAAGGTAAGTCATCCCCTGGGCTGTCCGGAAGCTCTGCCTCCTCCAGAGAACCTTACAGCATCCGTAAGGGGACATTGCTACTCCCTTGACTATAAAGAAAGAACAATTTTGGCCTGCTGCTGGTCTCAAGGGCTGATAGTAAGGGAGACCTGTGGCAAGTAAGGGACCTGCAGGGGGCATCACTAGGAACCCGGTCCCACTGCTCACTGTGGATGAAGGGGGAGGCCAAAGAAGTCCTGCCCCTAGGTCTGAGCAGGTTCAACCCATGACAAGCTCTATTTAAGGAGGATAATAACCATGGCCCAAGCATACCCAGTGATGTCATCTGATAACAAGATTGATTTTCCAGGATGGAGGGAATTCCAGTAAGAAAAGATAACACTGAACATTTGGCGGCAGAATTGGGCTAGAAAGAGCCCACTTCTTTCATTTTACATGAGGACATTTTGTAAACAGAGTTTCTGTTCTGCCTGTCCCCGTGGTCCTTTAGTCCCAAATAAACACACAGAGGCTTATATTAATTATAAACGGTTTGACCAATGGCTCAGGCTTCTTATTGGCTAGCTCTCTCTCAATTATTAACTCGTTTTTATTAAACTATGTATTGCCACGAGGCTGTGACTTATCCATAATGCTCCAGTGTGTTACTTCTTTGGGAGCTACATGGCACCTCTCTGTGTTTCTCCTCTCAGCATTCTCCTAGTCTGGTAGCCCTGCCTATACTTCCTGCCTGGCTGCACCCTGCCTGTCCATTGGCCAAAACAGCTTTATTCATCAACCAATAGGAGAAACATATAGTCACGGCATACAGAAGGACATCCCCCATCAAGATTTGGGACCATAAAGAAGAATGACTTGGATAGGGTCCTAGATCCTGCAAGGTCTCACTGGGGGTGACATTTTGACGCATACCTCTTAGTGACAAGTATAGTGGGTCTTGGCAATAAATGGCAGAGTCAAGCCCTGCACCATCTACAGCTGGTGCCTGTCTGTGGCAGGTGGAGTGTGGAAGAGGGGAAGAGGGCAGACGCACTCTTGCTGGATCTCCTTCCCCAGTTTGGGAAGTCATGTTGGTGGAAGGAGACGGTGTGGACCCAAGACACCTGGGATGTCAAAGGCCAGCAGGGCAACTGTCAACAGAGCGGGCAGCCTTTGCCTCCTGGCTAGCTGTGACCACTTGCAGGGCAGGAACCTATGGGTCACTAGAACCTATTTCAGTCCTGGTTTTTAGTACCAAAACGAACCACTAACTTTCCTACCTGAGGCATTCCAAACTGCCAGCCCCACAGTTCATCTGCTTTGTGGCAATCTGTGGCAATTTCACATGGCACAGAGTACCAAGAGCAGGCCAGAAGGGCTTGGTGAGGAGCCGGGGAAAGAGGAGTTTTGATGTGGCCTCCCCATGTCAACTGCCATGGTCTCAGAGAGACCATCATATTAAAATATACCAAGCATCTGCTATAGGCCAGATCCCCTTCTAGAAAGTCTGTTAGCTCAGGTGTCTTGTGGAGCCAGTGAAGTAAATATGTGCCCACCTTACCTGGGAACAAAACCTTAATACAGACTAATAGGCCCTGTTCCCATGGCCTCTCTAGGGGACCTGGGATTTGAAACTGGGAAGTCCCACTACAGAGAAGTCCCACTGTACCAAGCCCCTGTGCTGAATATGAATGGTTGCTCAGGACCAGTGCATCAGGTCAGGTGCTGAGCGTGAGCGTCATAGTCCCATTGCAGTGAGTCAACACAAGTTCATCATTATCTGGCTGGAGGTGGGCCTCTTTAGAGAGTAGGCTCACCCTGCCCCTCCCCCACACTGCCAGATTTGAAGGCAAGCTTTCTTCAGGCCAAGTCTGAGTTCTACCTGCAGACCGACCACCATGCCCAACCCCACCTGACTACTCGTGCACTTAGTGAAGAGAACTGAACAGTCTACCCTCTCCTCTCTTAACAGCACTTATCTGCCGGCCTCCAGCTCCGTCTCCAGGCCATTCAGAACCATGTGAACCACCACAGCCTAAGGACGCTGCCCGGCTCGGGCCAGAGCAGTGCTAGCCTGGCTGCCCTCCGCAAATGGCTGCAATGCACCCAGTTCAAAATGGCCCAGGTGGAGATCCAGTCCTCTGAAGCAGCCTCTCAATTTTATCCTCTATGAGTGGACTCCTCGGCTCCAGTGTCAACACTCTGGCTTAGCAATAATGGGTATAAAAACAAACACTTTGATCCAAGCAGGTTGGGGAACATTGGTACTGTACATTCTCTTTCTAGTTTAGTATAAAGACGTGCAGAGGCCGGAGAGGGCCACAAACGAAGCTTTCTTGCTACACATATTTCTGATGACTCCTTGGGCTATCTGATTAAGTGTTTCCTTACATTATTTTTTAAAAAAAACCAAATCATTTTTCTTTATCTAACTTCTATTTTTTTTAAGAAAAAATAAAAAAAAAACCAGACTGGTGGGTACTCACAGAGACGTTGTATAAAGTCCCCCTGTTGCTATTTTTGATGATAGAGAATAAATAGGGTTTTTGAAACCTTTGTAGTGTTTTTTCTTAAAACTCTACTCTTGGCAATGCAATAAAACAAAACAAAAACAAACAAAAGTCACCCGAATCCAGTGACCTGACTGAAACTTTTTTTGTGATTATCCTTGGAAAAGAGGCAGCTTGCAAAGCAACATTACAAAGTGCACTTAGAAATTAGATGGTTAAACTGTGCCGATGTTTTTTAATATACTTTCCAAAACTGTCTGGTAAGTCATGTTGTTGCTGTTATTATTACTATTTGTTTTGAGACAGGGTTTTTCTGTGTAGCCCTAGCTGTCCTGGAACTTGTTCTGTTGACCAGGCTGGCCTTGAACTCACAGAGACGCTGGGATTTAAAGGCATGCGCCACCATGCCCGGCTAAGTCTTATTGTTTTTAAAGCTAATTTTTCAACTCATTAGTTCCTGGATGTGCTTTCCTATAACTTTTTTAGATTTGTGAGTAATGGATTTTATGCTTTTGTTACCACTTGGGTAGGACTCCATTCAAAACTGTAGATTGCATGGTGGACAGAGGCGCTCCTGCACTGGCAGAACACCATCCCTGAAATTGCTTTTCATAAAAACAGACTTTTAACCGTGTAAGAGCACCCAGGTTTATGTACACTCATCCCTTAGCAGTTGGCTACATTCCCAGAGCAGCGCCTCTTCTCTGCCCTGTAATGCTCTGACTGAGAGAAGACGTAGCAGACATTTAAGGTGTATGCCGACAGATTATTAAATGCATTTGTATTATCTCTGTGATCCTGGGGTTTCTTAAAGTCACTTCCCAGAGCTAACGTTTAGATTCTGGCAACCACCTCTTCAGGACTTTTTCTAGATGCTCACCTCCTCTAAGTTTGCAATTACTCGGAGACAAGGGCTTCCCTCCTTATCTGCCCCACTTTCTTTCAAGGACTTGGAAAGCACAAGGTAACATCGCCTTGCTCAGCAGGAGCCTCCTCTTGTCTTCTGGGAAGTCCGATGCGCTTCTCAGGGGACAATGAGTCCTCAGGTGCGCTAGTGCTCCAAGGAGGACCACGGGAGTTGGTACTTCTGAGAACCTGCAGGGAGCCTACTGTGGCAAGAGCCCCAAAGTGATGCTTTTGCATCTTACTGACAGATTCTTACAAATGGTCCTCTTGAGCAGTCTGAAGCCTCCTCTGCCCCAGTCATGCTTGACTGCGTTTCTGTGAATATTCTGTATTACAGTAAGTTGTGCACATATTTATTTCATGTGTAAATGGTGACAGGCTTGGGGGCATGTATCATTCCAGTCCCCAGAGTTTGGTATATAGTATGTGTTTAATAATATCTGTTGAATTGAATGCATTTTTTTTTCTATCTAGTGGCCTCAGCCAGGACTTTAATTGTTGAATTGTCACACTCTGCTTCCATTCAAAGATTACTAGAATGGGTTACCAGCTGGAGGAGGAAGTGCTAACTGCTTTCAGCAAAATGACTCCCCCATCCAAACTCAGCTATAGCCCCAGGCAACTTGGATCTTAGTGGCCACATCCTTCCCTTAGACAATGTCAGTTTATTCCCCAACTTGTCTTTTCCCGGTTCTTTGAACAGGCTTCTGCCCCTACTTACCTTTGTGTATGTATCCTCAGTGAGGGTTGGCATTGAACCCTTCAACCTCAGTGTCTGGACCCCGTGGTCTTTTTTTTTTTTTAGATTTATTTATTTATTACATATACACCAGATTGAATTGTAGATGGTTGTGAGCCACCATGTGGTTGCTGGGAATTGAACTCAAGACCTCTGGAAGAGCAGTCAGTGCTCTTAACCTCTGAGCCGTCTCTCCAGCCCCTGGACCCCATGGTCTTAATCTCAGTTGCCATCTATCAGTATGCTCCCATACATTTTTCTCCTCACCCTTGCAGACTGTGACCATTTTTATTGCCAACTTGACACAACTCTGTACCTGTGGTCAGTATTCTACCACTTCACTGGTTGATAGAGATCATAAGTTACCCAGCCTACACTATCCACAGATGCCAGTATCCTCTCTGGCCACCTTACGTCAGCCCTCCAGCAACTGAGCTTGGGTACTTAAGCACTAGGAGGAAATGGAGGCATTTTACCAGAATTGCCCATGGAGGAAAAGCTGTTCATGTAGGCCAAGGACCAAGAAACTAAAATCACAGTCTAGCTGCCATCCACAGGCCAGATGCTGCCCACAGGCAAGATGCAAAATGTAGTTCATATGCTAGCTACTGTCTACAGGCTAGCTACTGTCTACAGGCTACTATCCATGGGCTAGATACCGTCCACAGGCCATATGCTGTCCATGGCCTGTTCCAGTGTGATTGGACAAACCACAGCTACCGCTCTCATGTGGAGTGTGGCTGTTCATTTGTTGCAGCTGCAGAGCTGAGTAGCAATGGATACTGTAGGCCAGAAAGCTCCTTAGTGCAGTCACCACGTGGCCTTCAGAATGTATGCTAACCCTTGTCCCTGGCAAAGGCCACTAGAGAACACTGAGCTGGAACCACACTACCTCAGGAGGCTTGGAATTTCATTATTAGTGTTTCCTCATCTGTTAAATGGGGTCAGTGACACATTCTACCTCATAGAGTTCTTACTGCAAAAAAAAAATGATAAAAGGATGCAAATTTTAATGAAGATTAGGGCACTCAGGAAATTATTGCTAAAGTTTAGAGAGGTAAAGATGCTCGCCCAAGGTCACATTGCTTGCAAGGGCAGCATCAAGCTTGGTCCCCAGGCTGTCTAACCCAACCAACCAACCATCTCCCATGTTAATTTAAGCTACATTGTACCCCACACCAATGCCAGATGACAATTGTGAAAGCAGGGGCAAAATGCCACATGACCCAGGTGGCTTGGAGAAGGTCAGGGCGTCACTCAGTTTTTATTCCCTTGGAGAAGGCTACTGATTTCTGGGTCATTAGATCATTCTGAGATTCCCGAGAGTGTCACAGGCCCAATTCTTCCTGTACAGAGATTTTGTTCTCAATGATTTGTCACAGTAGGCATGTCTCTTACTACTTGGTTGACCTTGGACAAATTATTGTGTCTGGACCTCTGTTTTCGCTTTCTGTAAAATGGGTATTTCTACCAATCATGGGGTAATGGAAAGACCCAGTGGGCAGAGGACGTTGATGCTGCTGGGAGACCATGGGAATCCACAGACGCCTGGAGGACTGCAGCTACCGTCAGAGAGAGACAGAAGAGGGCAGCTTGTTTGGTTTTCCCTTAACCAGTGCATCTGAGTCAAGACCCACAAGACCATTGGAGCCCAAATGTGGTCATTAGTCAACAGTTCCCGGACTCCACTGAGACGTTTTTGGCCATCTCTGCCCTAAGAGCCTCCTCTAAGGCCAAGTGGTTACAACAGCTTCATCTCCATTGCCAAGTGACCACAGGACAAAGAAGCCTGGGTCAGGTCAGAGAAGATGGGTTGACTGCCAAGACTCTGATAAGCTGTGGTTGGAGGGCCTCTGCACTCATTGGACACTGCAGACACTGTACTATACTTCTCTAATAGAATCAACTTGCTAATATGTGTATTGGGCAAATGACCTGTTTTGAAAATAATGGTTCTTGTGCAGAGTGTAGTGGGTGGAATTCATTGCACAGTGTAAAACCAGGGTGTTAACACCCATGACCAATGATGTCTAGGATGTTAAGAGAAGTTGGCCAGTGCCTCCCATAGCTAGGGGCCAACAGTGAGTCTATAGGAAGGACCTTCAAGGGAAGCCATGGCAACCACTGTCTATTTTGTGTCTACAAGGTCCCAAGTTCCTTCTAGACCATGCCCTGACTCTCCTGCCTGAGACAGGTGTTGGGAGTCTTCCCATTGTTGCAGTTGGAATACTGGAGGCCCCTGAGTTAAGTGTCTGTCCTGGGCCATGCAGTTGGCAGTGTCTTGCTGAAAGCTGTAAGCTCCCAAGTCAGAGTGCCACTAGAAATCGCTTGTTTTCTTCTTGGCTGAGCTGTGTCAGAGCATGGGCTAGAGAAGTCTGGGAACGTTCCTGAGGTATTGCTGTTCATTGCTTGTCCTCTGTTTTGTACAAAAAAGAAAAAAGAAAAAAAGAGCCACCTCATATGACAAAGGTATTTTCCCTCTATCTTTCGGAATTGATTTCTGTGGAAAAATTATATATCACAGCTTGAATCTCATTTAGTTTCCCAATTATTATAGTATTTTTTATATTTAAAAGAAGAATGAATTTGTCTACAGGGGAGGTCGAGGTAGGAGAGTCACAAGGGTAACTTAAACCCTGTCTCTAAATAAAAATAAAAAAGGACTTAGGGTGTAGGTCAATGGCCGAATGTCTGCCTACTGTGTGCAAGGTCTTGGGTTCAGTCCCTCATGCCACAAAATTAATAAGAAGAGAAGAAAATAAACTTGTGTGAACTGGAGATTGCAGTGATGAGCTCCTCAGTTTGGAACTGAGTGGGATTCACCCAGTTCTGAAAAGTCCTGCCCCTAAGTAATTAGAGCCACAGATGGCATTGGCAAGGGCTTACTACGTGTCACAAGCTTTCGATGTATTGATGTCATTTAACCTTCACAATGGTGTGCAATAGGCACCCCTAATCCCTTAACTATGAACCTTACATAAGAGATGAGGAAAAGGGGTCTCTTTGTAGGAGTCCCTCAGCAAGGAAGTGGAGTGTCTGTCTCCTGAAGCCCTAGTTGTGTACATTACAGGACTAGCAGCTAGACACTAGGAAAGTTCTTTGCTATGAACCTGACCTGCAAAACAACTTAGAACTATTTAGACCCTAAGACACCAGTGGGCAGCCTGCTGGCTGACCTCGTCACAGGGTCTTTTGTGAGATGAGCTTGCGATTTTATTTCTTCTTTTGATTGGAACACCTGTGGTTGAATACCATGTGGTCTCCAGCATGGTCTAGCTCCCACCACTGATATGGGTTTACATGGTCTAGCTCCCACCACTGATCTGGCCTCAGGGTCAGAACCAATACCACAGGCTCTGAAGAGAAATCCCATGGTCTCTGAGCTGGTCCCTGACCTGGTAATCTTCCCTCATTGACCTGCTTGCCTGGCAGGCTCTGAGTTTACTACCCTCGGCTTAGACTGAGCTCTAGCTTACAGGTCTCAGGAGGCCCTTGGCCAGCAGTGCCAAAGGGGAAAGGCCAAATCAGGGCTTGAGACCGTGCTCTTTGCTCCACATTGGCCCTCTTGTTCTGATTGGCATCACACCTCTGCTGTGGGCTCTGGGCTGCAAGGATCCTGCCTCTCAATGAGACCAGCAACAGCAGCCGAGCACCATGCTGAATTCTTCCATAGAGAAGCTGAGGTAAGGTGGGTATGCTGAGGTGAGCTGTGCTCCGCAGGGTGCACAGGTGACTTGAGGCTTTGGTTGTTTCAGAAACAAATGGCTTTTTAATCACACAGCCTAGACAGGTCCTTGTGGGCCAGTGGAGAAGGGTACCTCCTGGGGCTGTCTGGCTGCTCCCTTGATTTCCACCCCTTCAAGTGGCCACTTAGAGAAGAGAGGAACCGTGGTTAATCAAGCTGAAGGCTGACTGCACTTTCCAGGTAAGGACAGTAACATTGCCCAGGGGAAGGGGAATTGCAGAGCTGGAGACAGAGAGCGTGGGGGCACTGGGCAGACAGCAGAGTATGGGGATCTTCAGACTATGGGGCAGACGCTGGACTCCAATGGGGGTAACAGGGGATTGATTGTGCAGGCATGGGCTTTACAGCTGGGTCGGGTTCAGGTCCTGCATGTCCTCCTGCCCAGTGACCAGATGCCTAAACTTCAGCTTCATGGACATTGCTATAGAAAGGACATTGAGAGGCCCTGTCCGACTTTGGCACTGAGTAAGATGGCTAGTAAGGCAGGGATGAGCTTCTGTGGGACCTGCCCCATCCCAGGTCTGTATGTCACCACTCCCAGACTGTAATACTGGTGACAGCTGCTGTTTTGCTGAAGAGACATCACAGCTTGCAATGGGCACTTGGCTCCAGTTCCTCAGCACGCTGTTCCCACGCTGTTGAGCTCCATGCTGACTCAAGGCCCCCCACGACTCCAAGTCTGAATGAGCAACCGGGGAATCCTCCTCCACATGGCGCGTTCTGCCAGCATTTGGAGTCACGTGGAGTGAGCACAGCACAGTGTTTGTAATGGGGATAATATTTTGAAAATAATAACCGCATATGATTTTTTTATTCCTCTCCAGGAAACAGCATGGCTCAATCTGTTGTTCTGTGAATGGTGAGGGCAGGAGGAGGCCAGCATGTGGGGAAAGTTCTGGTCAGACAGGATGAGAGAGCAGAGAGCCCACCTCTTCTGGACCCTGATGGATTGGCAGCCAAAGGAAGAGGAGGACGTGGGGGCAGAGCTGGACATGCATCTGGGAGTCCTGGAAGTGTCTACAGCGCCTCTTTGGCCCACGTGCCTGATCAGAGGCCTTGGGGAAGGGTCAGGAGCTAAGAAAGTAAGACACATCAGGAGCACATTCATAACGTGAGCACCAGGGGACAGGGGGCGACCCTAAGGGCTAGAGGAGCCAGCATAGCCTAATCAGCTAATTGTAGTCAAGCCAGCCCTTCTGCAGCAGAGAACAGAGACCACTGAGAAAAACTCTCAGGCCTAAGGCCAGCTGCTATGTATTAGTGACTGCTGTGGCCTGCTCAGTGGCCCAGGTTGGTGTCTTCCAGAGGAGAGTAGCACTTGGAATGACACACAGTGTCTAGCCAAAGGAAACCAAGCTGTCTGAATGACACCAGCGAAATGGGAGGACAAAATAACACCACGTGTAAATTCAGGTTTGACTACACCCAACTATGTGCTGTGAGTATTTATGCAGAATAAAACGTTCTTCTTATGCCCATGTATACGTGTTAAATTTGTAAACCACTGTGTGCCAGTTAATTTAACAAATATTTCCAACATCAGACATGTTCGAATGTTTGGAGGCTGGAGATTTGGTAATGAGTAAGACCCGACCCCAGAGAAGGTCCCTGCTCCAGAGTGTCTTTCTTCTGACAGGTAGAGCAGGAAGCATGTGCAGAAAGCAGCAATTATCTTAGGTGGATAACATCGCCATACTGAAGCTAGATTGAAGGGATTGAATGGAGAGACACTTGGGGTGGTCAGAGGAAGCCACATATGGTGAGAGGAAGAGCAAGCCAGAGCTTATTCTCCCTTGTTCAAGTGAGGAAACTGAGTCTGAGAGGGAAGAGACTGGCCAGGGGGGCACTTGTGTAGTGATCTTTGTTAGCTCCAACTTCCAGAGGCTGGGATGGCTAAAAGCTTTGCCCCTTTCCTAAGGTCTGGAGAAGGTGTGTGTGTGTGTGTGTGTGTGTGTGTGTGTGTGTGTGCGCGCGCGTGTGTGTGCATGCGTGTGTAAGAAACCCTATGAAATCTGTGATCTTGTCTAAGTTGGAAGAATTGAAACTTGTTGCTATTCAGAGTTGGGTCTCAACTGTAGCTCTGTTTTTCTGAGCCCCGGTGCCCCTTAAAATTTTCAAAGCTTACTTTACGTTTTATAGAAGAGGGGTGTCTCCTAGGCTTAAAGGGAGAGTTCAAGTTGAGGTATAGAAGTGCTGGAAAGCCAGCCCTGGGTGTCCCTTGCCTCCATAGCCTCATCACCAGTGACCTACATACAAATTATGGGCCCATTGCCACCACCAGCTTGCTCCTTAAGGATGGGGTCCTATCTGTTGCTCTCTTTATTCCCAGGAGACAGCATGGGCATGAGTGGGTTAAGAGTCTCGAGGGACTACAGGGTCACATGGTAGGGGATAATGTGAGAGGTCATACCCACAGAGGGGACCTGTGAGGTGTCCAGCTGGGACCTCGGGAGGGGAAAGCTGGACCTGTCAGCATGGCATCTTGCTGGTGCCAGAGTCCCTTTCTTTGGGGACAGAGGGAAGAGAGAAGGAGCTGGATGACACCTGTTGGGGGGGGACCCCAGTGGAAAGGGGAGGACAGGGTCTGGAAAGTGCCCCACCCCAATATGGAAGAGAGAGATAGGGCCTGGCTGACTACGTTGGGATAGACACAGCATCAAGAGAACTTCCAGAGGCCCTGCGAGCTGAGCTTTGGATTGGGATGTGGCGCTATTTGGGTGGGGTGGCCTATAGTAAGGGGGCCAGCTGGGCTACTGTGGCTGGGCAGGACTGACTTCCGGGTGCCTCACAGTGTGTCTGAGTGCCACATTTTAGGGAAGGAAGAGGAAGAAAAGAGTGGCTTGCTGCTGTGTGCCTATGGGCCCAAGGCTGGTTTTCTGCCTCTTCTCCAGCTGCCAGACCAGGTACCCTATGGGCGCCACTGTATCTTGCCTGTTGGTCGCCACTGGGCTCCCTTCACAGGATATGCTGCTATTATGTTGGTGGGGGGCAGTGAACTGTGTTGGTCACTGGGGCTGAAAGTAGCAACGAAGACCCCAGAGAGGAAAGCTGGGGTGGCGACTCAACACCTGGGAGGAGTCTAGCGCCACTGTTCTCTGCGGATGACCTACCCTCTTCACTCTCCCAGTCTGGCCTTGGAGCCCGATTCCTGGGCACAAATGGACAGAGCCTTACACACAGGCTAGCTGCTCTCGGCCTTCTCCTCTGCTGGTTCTGGGATTGTAACTGTGGAGCCCTGGCTGAAGTGCACAGGAGGTGTTTCTACCAAGGTAGAGGAGCCGAGTCAAAAGCCTGGTTGGTCTAGATGCTTTTATTGACTGTGTATTGAGAGTAACTGTAACAGTGGCCCATCTGCTGTGCGCCTGTTTGTGAATGGAAGTTCCCACAGCTGGCAGCTCATCAGGCCCCATCGATATTAGGAAAACATCAATGAGATATGTATTGGGAAAACCAACTCTGGCTCAGCAGGAATCTCCACAAGTCCTCTCGTTTCCCTGGTGCCTGGGAGACAGCTCCTCATCTAAACCCCTGTCCTAAGCTGATAACCTTCTAGATTGGGGGCCATCTGGGAGCTGCCCAACCCTAGTTCAGGGCATGGAGGCCTCTATTGTCCCCCCCTTACTGAAGTCACTGAAATATTGGGAACCTGATATAAGGGAGTAGGAAAAATCAGTAGTGCCTCAGTGATGGGGAGACAGTCTCTGTCAGGGGCCCCTTCAGTCCTTAGCAGGGAACCCTTCAGTCCAGGGTTCCAAACCCACCCCCATCTCTGCTGGCTGGTCTGTGTGAGGGACAATCAGGGCCTCTTCTCAGATCCATCTTTTTATCCTAGAGATGAGGATAGTGGCATTCTCTCTCCCAGTACCCCTCCTGGCACATGTACAAGGACCCCACTCGTACACACTAAGATGGAAGCTTGGTGAAATTTTCCTAGCAGGGTCTGGATTTATGCACAGCCCTTAGTGGCTTCTGCCCTATTTCCTTCAGGCTTGGGATAATCCGAGGTGGTCCTGCTCTTCCTGAGGTCCCTGTGTTGGAGCTCATGTCAGGCCAGGGAATTGGGTACTGATGTCCAGGCAGGGATGGATGTCCTAGGACACTGGCCAGAGGACCAACCCCACTTCTCCTCTGGCATGTCCAGAAGATCCTCCCTGCTTGGATGCCCACAGCATCCTGGGTCACTCTCCCAGAGCCTTCCCAGTGTGAGGTCCTGGGTCCAGACAAACTGGAAAGGCTTGTGGCTCAGTGTAGATGGAGGTGGTGGGCGAGAGGATGAGGGCCAGGACTGCCCTTAGAAGTGCCAGTCCTCGGACTGAGGAGATGATGCCGCATCACCAGCACTTGCTGCTCTTGTAGACGACACAGGTTGGGTCCCAGTACCAAGATCGGGTGGCTCACAACCATCTATAACCCCAGTTCCAGGGCATCTTCTGGCCTCCAAAGGTACCAGGAACACGTGTGGTATACATACATACATACATACATACATACATACATACATACATACATACACACATACATACATACATGCAAAACACACACACACACACACACACTAAATCTTCAAAATGAAATAAATAAAAACACATCCCTGTGACTTTAGGATAAAGCAACAGAAATAAAGTACCTTCAAAGTGTCCAGCCCTCCCTGGATTCACAGCAACATATCTGCTCCTTCTCATGCCTGTCCAGGACCAAGCACCCACCACAGACAACAGTGACAGCCATCTTTATAAGGATATTTTTATTGACAATAAAAAAATCTCAGTGCTTCCTTCTTTGCAAGGAAGGAGCTGCTGAGTCTTGACGTGTGCATTTGCCCACCAAGACAGAATGCCAGTGGCGCGCTTACCTCCCATACACACGCATTGCTAAGAAGGCAGAGTTCAGATATTTACATTCATGCAATGCAGGTCTCACACTACCTGGGCTGTTTAGGTCATATTTGTACAGATTGGAGTACAGTATTTATATATATATATTTTTGTATAGATAGTTATCTCTTTAAATATATATATAACTATATATAATATGCCTATTTTTGTACATCTATTATTCTTTCATCCAAAATGTCCTCTAGAAGGCTTGTGGAAACACCCGGTAACTGGGAGAGCCTAAATGATGCTGAGTTCTGACACGACTTGACCACAGTGGAAAACACTTGGGGAAACACGTGGACATGGACCCTTCACCTGACTGCATTCAGGCTGCTTGGCAAACGGGTCATAGTGGAGTTGCCATGGGGCCCCTTGAAATGATGATCTAAGTTCACACTCTTGGTTGACATGATTGTGTGGTTTTATTATGATGTGATATGTGCCCTCTAGTTGTCCAGTCCTAGGCTTGGGGATGCTGTTCCCTTGGGACACCCACACCCTTTAAAAACCTAAGCTCTTCCTTTGGTTTTCCCCAAGTGTGTCGTAGGATAATACAAGCCCACTAGAGAGAATTTACATGCATACCAGCCAACTACAGTGGAAACTCAGCAATGGCCCCTGCTGACTAATAGCACACACACTGTGGGCTTCCTAGGTTTAAGCCAAGGACAGGATGTGGGTGCATGGACATCTCAGGCTCTGCCCAGCCCTTCGTGTCCCCTGGCAGAGAGCGCCCCTCAAGCTATGGGTGTCCCTTCCTCACTCCAGGGCCCTGAGAGTCCAGGTTGGAAGTTGGGGATGTTATGCTCTCCCATAAGGCTCCGGAGTGTGTTTGTTTACAACTAGGTCCCAACCTTCCTATCTGCCCAGTCTCTGCTGCAGGTACAGGCACCAGGAGACTGTGGCCCTAGTCTCAATTTAGATCAAGGTGATGGTGGTGGTGGCGGTGGCGTGTGTGTGTGTGTGTGTGTGTGTGTGTGTGTGTGTGTGTGTGTGTGTGTGAAGTTGAGACACAGGGTACTGGGGTGGAGCCTGCCAGGCTTCCCACCCCATCTGCCTGTCCCTGATCCATCTCCTCTGGCTTCTTCATCACTTGCAAACACATTCAGAGAGGACTGCCAGGTGTCCCCCTGTGTGAGATGGGGACAGCCCCACAGAAGGCTCTTGGCAACCTGCTCTTGGCAACGTGCCAGAGCCAAGTTGTGAAGGTGAAATTCACACCCAACCCCAAACCATGTCCTCAAGCAAAGGAGAGCAAATGTCATTTACATGAGACAAGCCCTGGACCTCCCCTTAGCCTGCACCTATCATTCAGGAGCAGGATAGTGGCACCTTCAGGGCATCTGTCTACAATGTACTGATTTTCATGCACCTCACTTTTCCCTGGCTTTGAAAATCTCATGTGGCACACCCACCCGCCTGAGAAGATCTCTGGTGGCTGCGGAAGAGGCCAATGCACTCATTACATCTCTGCATTGTGGGGGTGTGGCCCTCCAGTAGGCCGGCTTCCTAAGCAAGTACATGTGGCTGGTGAGGAACGATGGACGAAGAGCCAAGGGCTATAAAATCATAGGGGTCAAGGGATGCTCCTTGCTGTGTGGGTGGCCTCCAGGGAAACAAGCCCATGGGCAGAGGGTTAGCAAGGCTAGATGGTTCTTCCCCATTCCCCCTTCCTCCCACACTCCGGCTCCTTTAGAGCCATGACCCGCAGAAAGCCACTTCCAGAAGCCACCTTCTCCTAGGAACTTTCTGAGTACCAAATTAAGGTTTTGGGGGACTGGTGGAGGAAAGTGAGGGAGGGTGCACATAGCACCAGACCAGCACTGGCCTGGCACAGAGTGACCAGATGAGTTTGGCACAAGTTGTGACCTCTGCCCAGTGAGGCAGGGCCTGGCTCACACTGACGCTTCCTGAAGAACCAGGTGTGGGCTGTCAGAGCAGGGGCAAAGGGAACCTCTGATTTTCTTGGGACACTCCCAGCCTGGGCTTCTGGGAGATACCGAGTCCATTCCCAGGGGACTATGTAGGCTTGGCTCACTGCTTCCCGGGACAGGCATGCAGTCAGGAGCCACAGGCTAGGCTGTGGGTAGGCAAAGGAGGGTGACATAGGCTCTGGAGATGGAAGACCATGGCAGGTACAGTTATGGACAGATGTGTGGGAAGCACCTTTGGAAGGGGACATTTGTCTCATGGCTATGTGATGGCTTTTGTTAGAATGTCCATAGAGAAGCAGGTGGGCTTCCTGCATGAGAGTAAGCTTCCAGAATGGGAGAAATCCCTGGGTCTCCTTTCTTCTGGCTAAAGTGGGATGTCTTTCTACCCCAGGTAGACAGACAGACAGATGACAGACCCTCTACTTTCATTGGAGTACGCTGCTTTCAGTGGCAACTGGTTGACGGTCAGTGCACCCAACACAAGACAAGAAGGAGGGTATGGAGAGCCTTGGGTGGGGCTGCTGCTCGGGGCCACATGCAGGGGAGCCTGGCTCAAGCCTAGTGTCTGTGCTGCACCCCGGGGATTGACCAGGGCTAGCCTGGGAAGAGGATGCTTTCTCTTTCAGGAGGCCCGAGCCCTATAAAGCATGAAGTCCTGGACAGGCGCAGGGTCAGCTCATGTCCACCCGTCACCCCATGTCCACCAGTGTCACCAAGGTTTCCTTCCAGCCAGTGGGTCCAGGGCCTGCAAGTCACACCACCGCAGTGTTCACATCCACCCCTTTGCTGCTCTGGGATGAGCTCATGGGATATTCAGCAACACTGGTGCCATTTTCATCTTTTCTCAGGGGTTTCCTAGAAAGGATGAGGGAGGGGAACAAGGACATCGTTAGCTGCAAGGGACAGTGATGATGTAACCTCCGAGCCAGAGTCCAAGTGAGTGCTTCTGTGGAGTCAATCAGAAGCCAAGCAGAATCTTAACTAGGGTGACCATATCATTTAGGATGCAAACCAGGGTCTACTGAGAAGGAAAGAGGACACAGGGACAAGTCCGAGTTGGAACTGTTCTGGACAACCCAAAATGTATGGTCAACCTAGCAGGATCAAGCTCTGGTTGATCCCTCTGGGCGCAATTGGTTCACAAGGAGCGGCATTAGTACTAGGATCGTGCGTCCTGCCTCTGGGCGATCACAATAATGGTAAATGCGATGAGTGAATGGAGGGTGGTGGGTAGCATTAGTACTGCTGACAGGTGACGGCAGTGATGTCCAGGTGATGTGACTGCTGGTGGTTATGGTGGTGATTGTGGTAGAGGAGGTGTTAGTGGAGAGATGATGCTGATGGTAATTGTGATGACGGTGGTGAAGGAGATGGCGGAGATTTTGGAGGCTATGGTAGTAGTGACAGTGTGGAGAAGGCAGTGATGGTAGAGGTAATGGTGGTGGTAGTTACTGTGTGGTGATGATGGAGAAGGTGGTGGAGATGCTGGTGGTGATGGTTGAAGGGATAATGGCAGAGGCGTTGGTGGTGATGATAGTGACGGTGGTGATGATGGTGGAGAAGGTGGTGGAGATGCTGGTGGTGGCAGCAGAGGGGACGATGGTGGTGACAGCTGTGGTAGCAATGATGGTGGGGCAGATGAGGGATGGTAGTGACAGTGGGTTATAATAGCAGTGGTCACGGTTGGGTTGATAGTGGTGGCGACACCGACTGTGATGACGGTTATGGCGGTGATAATGATGAATTCCCAAGCTGAGCTGGCACACACCCGTAGTTCTTCATCATTTTTCACTGAACCACCTGAAGCTCATATTAGAGACCAATGAACCCTAGGTCTATTCCTCTTATGTATACAAGGGATCAGGAAGGCTAGGAGGGAGGCACTCCCTGAGAGTGTAAAATCACAGTGCTATTCCCCACCTGACTGAAGTCCTCTTTCCTCCTCTGAGTCGCTCATGGGGAAGGGGGAGGTCTCTGACCTCCACCCTGAGTACCTACAACCTCCTGGACTGGGCTGTGCAATCTGTGTTTCACACCACTATACGGCTGTCTCTTAGGTGAAGACGGCTCCAGTCACACATGGCTAAGGCACCTCCTATGTCCCTGAAGGTACCCAGATGAAGGCCTCTTGCTAAGTATTATCTAAACTAGACATTCAAGGCCATCTTCCAAACGCTCAGGGATTGATTGATTCTGCCTTCTTTAGCACCCTCAGAGCCTCCACAAAGACAGGATGAGCAGGCTGTGATTGGCTCAAAGACCTTTGGAGGTCCTCTTCAAAGTCTCAGAAGGCAGGGGGATGGTCAGTAGAGTCATGAGACAACCAGGCCTTCTCACACGACACATTAAAGTCAAGTCTATTCGTGATCCTTTTTCTTGTAGAGGAAGTTGTTCACAGAGGAATTCACTCTGGGTGGCTGAGTCTAGTCACTGCGGCTTTCAGAAAGGCAAGATCAAATCCCCGGTGTGGCATGCTTTGTACAGAGTCTTCTCAGGCAGAGAAACTCTTGTCCCTCCTTAGGGCCTCCTGAAGAAGTTAGGCTAGAGTTAAGACAGTCGTTTTATGGGGAGAAACTGAGGCTGAGCGAAAGTTTTGACTTGCCAAGGGCCCCAGCTGCATTGCAAGGGACCTGGAGTGTCATCCTTGGTACACTCCTGGGGATGTACCCTTAGGTAATCATCCCCAGGAGGCGTTTTCCTAAGAACAGGCTCTGCAGTCCAGCTGCTTGGGAAAGCCTCCTTATACCTCCTCCCAGAGATCCTTCAAAGTCTTGTTGAGCTTTCTAGGAAGTCTCCCTTGCCTAGCTTTAATCCAGGATGACCCGCTTCATGGGGCCCAAGAGCTCCCAGATGCCAGCTCACGGTGATGGTGGCATAAATGGCCCACATGGTAAGTACACTTAGCCTCTCCACCTCCTGGCACCAGAGCCAAGACCCTCTCTGTTCTGCTGCCCATACTCTGGTCCTAGCTGTTCCCAAAGCCTTCTGGGTTATCACTGATGCCAGTGAAAGCTGAACTGTCCCCAAAGAAGAAGCTAGCTCTGGAACTCCATTCTCCTACCAAACATGTCATTCATGGGTGACACTGGCCATGTTAAGGGGCAGAGGCCACACCCTCAAGAACCTCGACTTTCCACCACTCTATTATATTTTTGTTTGTGAGCCCAACCTTTAATGGCTGAGGCATCTCTCCAGCCTTTCCACCACTCTCTGCCTGTGTGAACTCAGGCAATGTAGGTAACTTTTCTGAGCCTCTGTTTCCTTATCTATAAAATGGGTATAATATCAGTGTCCCCTTCATAGGCTTGTTGGAAGGATTAGACATGTTAGTGCACATCAAGCATGTGGATGAGTGTCTAGCATACAGTAATTGCTCTGTAAGTGTCTGTTAGTGCTCAGCACTGATGTCACAGAGGTGTCATGGGAGCTGCTTGGCTGGCCAGCGGTGGCCATCATACCGTGCTCCAGTCTGCCCAGGCTTCCTATTTAGCATGCACCTTCTGAGGATCTGGAAGGGCTAGCAGTCATTTCTAGGACTCCTGATCCTCCAATCTGTGGGCCAATCTGGGCTGGTCCCACTAAGCCGGGCAGAGGCCACAGAGAACTCCTTTAAATGGCCTGGTTCCTAAAACCAAAAGGAAGGGTTGTGAGCATCTCCATGTGCTTTGGCTTCTGGGCAAAAAGGGATGGGGGGCGTGGCCTTACCATTTGGAGACCTTTCTCCACCTACTAGGTGCTCTCCACCTCCACAGGGAGCATCATCAAGGCTCCAGCTGCCCAGCCCAGAAGGGCCTCTGCGGAACCTGCCTCCACTGCTGTCTCTTTGCCTGGGCTCTGGGGCTCTGCTGGCAAGGGGCAGGCGCTGCCATCCTCAACTGCTATTCTGCTGAGCAACAGCCCACAGTGGGGGAAAGACGAATTCATCCTTTGTGTGCACGCACGCACGCACGCACGCACGCATAGACACACACACACACACACACACACACACACACACACACACACACACACACACACACACAGAGGCCCAGCATGAGCCTCCTCTATAGAGTACAGACTTCTCCAGCCTTAGGATGAGAGCCAGAAAAAGCTTTCCCCAGCCACCAAGGTGTCACTAGGAGAAGCCGGTGGTACATGGGTACCTCTCCACATCCAGGAGAAGGTGAGTCCCAGATGGGCATCCTCACACCATCCTTCAGCTCTCTGGATTGGCTCCAGGAGGCTTTGTGCATGCTCAGAGTGGGGAGCAGCGGAGGGTATGGTGGACAGGAAAGGTGGAACAGAGCACCCCAACATACTGGGAGAATACCCCAATAGGGTAAGGGAGCACCCCAACATGGTGAGAGCACCCCAGTAGGGTAAGAGAACACCCAATGTGGTGTGAGCACCCCAATATGGTGAGAGAGCACCCCAATATGGTGAGAGCACCCCAACATGGTGAGAGCACCCCAACATGGTGAGAGCCCCAACAAAAGGCAAGAATTCAAATTCTGACATCAAGGCAGCTTCCTAGCTCCTTGGAGACTCAGTTTCCTGATCTGAAAAATACAGCGCATTGGCCCAAAATGGAGGAGACAGACTAAGAACACAGGGGAGAGAGATGAACCCAAAGCCTAGTCTGGAAACTCCAGGAGACCAGTCAGTTCCTCCCTATTGGTTTCACTTGTGAAGGTCATCCTACAACCAGAGTGACAGGAGTAAAACTCACAGCCCACCCCCTCCATGCGCATGCCCAGGTCTGTTCTGCATTTCATGTCCTTCTCCTGCCCGGTGTTCCAGCTTGGCCTGTGTGTCTGACCACACCCTCATTTTATGTGTGCATTTGTCATTTTTTTTGTTTTTTAATTATTAAACCAAAATTACACAGAAGAGTAGGCTCAGAAGGAAAAAGTAAAGATTTTAGATGTTAACAACTACTCTAATAATAACTTGAAGTAACTTATGGAGCACAGGAATCCAGGAAGAAAAACCCTTGCTCAGAAATATTATTAATGACTTGTTGCCCTTTTGGTGTTTTTGGCAATGTCCTTGCATGGTTCTTGTACTATGCTGAAACAGATGTGTTACTTACAGAATCAAACGTCCTAAGGCTGGGAAGATATGTCTGAGATCGACTCTAAAATGTTAAATATATAAGAGCAAAGAGGAAACCGCTGTAGCCATTACAGCGAACTCACGGCAGGCATTAAACGGGGCAGGGAGGGAGATGATCCCCTGCCTAGCCTTCCGCCCCCCCCCTCCCCCCGTCCAGTGTGATCATCTATCATCTGCAAAACGGCCAGGCAGTTGAAGACATCCCAGCCCAGCTGGGCTCCTGAGGGGGGGCTCCAGCCTGCACTGTGGCTGGACACTCACCTCTTTATGGCTTTGTAGCAAATGATGACCAGCACAGTCAGAAACACCAGGGAGGCACACACCACAGCGACGATGATCACCAGCCCCGACCACCAGCTGTCCTCAGCAGGGCACGAGGTAGAGTTGGGAGCTGAAAGACACTAGAGTCTGAGTCTCTCTGAGTGAGCGAGGTGGGCCTGTGGGACAGCGGTGAGGGAGTGGCATGCAGAGCCATCCATCCATCACCCTGAGGAAGGCCCTCTGACCTTTCCTGCTTTCCCTACCCCCACCCCAGCAGGTGACATCATGCCTGGACCCCAGCCAGCCCCTCCCCCATTCAGCGCCTCCGTCCTCCTTGGCAAGCTCAGAGCCGGATTGAGCTCCAGTGCCTGGCTAAGCAGGCCTCCGTCCTCCCAGGCATGAGCTAACTGACAGCAGGGTCGGGTTTAATTTCCCATGAAAAATAACAGAACATCTCATTCTCGAAGTCAAGGCATTAAATCCGGTGCGACCGTGGTTGGGGGTGGGGTGGCGGGCTCTCAGGGAACTTAGGAGGAGAAAGGAAACACCCTGGATGTGTTTTGGAACTGAGCTTCTTGTGAGGCTCGCTCTACCAGCCTGGATTAGGTCCAGGTGATGCTACCAGTGGCTTTCTCAGTGTGCCTGGAAGGGGCCAGAGCATGGGAAGGTGTGTGAGCATCACAGCATCTGACACCTGACTCCACCTCCTGTCCTCATCCTACCCATCCTTAGGGTAAGCCTGTTCCCTGGTGGGTCTGGGCAGTATTGGTGTTCACCTGGTCTAATACTGTCTCAGAGACTGTTACTACCCTGTGAGTAAGGCATAGACAGCCCAGCCCCATAGCACAGGCTTGGAAAGAACCAGATGCCACAAAGAAAAGGAAGTGCTGGTGTTATAAAAGGACTGGGGGAGGGGAGGGCAGGGAGGGGGCGAAGAGGCAGAGAGCAGAGGGAGTGTGGGGGGGGGGGGAGAGGAGTAGACAGACCACACAGGTGGACAGGGCTAGACAAGTCCTCAGGGTTTGTGAAGATCTGTGCGAGAGTCACAACTATGTCCCCAGCTCTGTCCCCTCAGTACTAGTCACTTGGAAGTAGACAACAGCAGTTGAAGATGACTGGAGGACACCAGGATGTGTCCAGGGGGGGATTCCCTCCTGTCAGTACAGCACCTGACAGCTGTGTCAGATCTCTATACCAGCAGAAGCCACACCCAGTATTCCCAGTACTTCCAAAGTACCCTCGAGTCTCTTCCTCAATAACCCCTAATTGGGGACACCTATCCTAATGATTGCTAAAATATAGGCAAGACGTGTTTGTTCCTGGCATTCATAGAAATCATGTGATAAGCACATTCTTGTCTCTTTCACACCGCTTTATCTATTTAGCAGTGTTGGGGATTCACCCAGGTAGCTATGTAGTTCAGTAGGTCTTCCTTTTATTGTTGATGAATAATATCCCCGCCCCCAGCCCCATGTTCCTGTGCTAGCTACAACCTTTTGTCCATTTACCTGCGGATGGGCTCCTAGGCTGTTTGAAGATTTTTGGTCTCTAGGAAAAGCTGTCATAAACATCTGTGAAGGAATCTTTTGTATAGACAGTTTCATATTCCTCATATTCCTCTTGGGTAAACACATGTTATAGGATGGCCCTGGTGTGTGCATGGCATACGTAAATGTGTGTGTGTGGTCTCAGCAAGTGGTTACACCTGGGAGTGGTTACACAGCATTTGGAAGCACAGGAAGGAGAAAGTGATCTCTTTGGTCATCACAACAAATGAATCCATCAGCTAGGGGTGTTGGGCCCCAGCCCTCACGGGGTTTCTATGAGTTGCTTGTCAGCCAATAACCACAGGTGCATCCTGTTTTCTAGTCCTGTCTTACAGCCCTAGCCTTGCCCCACTGGCATCAACCTCTCATTATGAAAAAAAAAAACGAACTCTTACACCTGGGGTTTTTCCACTGTGCTGTAAGTCTGTATATAAGGCTTCTCCTTCCCAATAAAAAGTCAAGTGCACACACACACACACACACACACACACACACACACACACACACACACACACACACACATTCTCTTAGCAAAAACAGCCGGACTTCTTGTCTTTCATTTAAATCTCCAGGATTTTGCCTGATACATTAGACTTGCTCATGGCACAGGCACCACATAGGTATGTTAATAATGATGCACTAAAGTTAGAATTGTCCCTTAAAGGTGCTAGCAAGGCCCTCCTTAGAAAGTCCATCCACACTGCAGGCTGCAAAGCTCAGTTTGGAATTTGGCAGGGCTACCTTCCCTTACACCCTGCTGGTGGGGTGGGGATTGTCCTTTTATGGTCATTCTTCATGGCATTGGTAGTGGAAGCAGCTAGCTCTGGTTGTGTGCCCTTCTGTCTGAGACCTTGAGGGACTCAGAAGGTGCAGATGAATGCTGTATGTGTGGAAGGCAACAACCCAACCCAAGGCAGAAACCCTGCATCTGCAGAGAGAAGGTATTTCAAGAGACCTGGTGGCATAGGACAGCTTTTGGTCACAAAACCAGAGGTGGAGTTGAAGATGGCGTTCGCATTTGCTTGAGTTGATTAAAGAATGCCAGAGCTTGAGGGAGCCTGGATATTGTCATTTCAGAAAACAGAATAAACATTGGAGCAACTTACATGAGGGCTAGAGTGAGGACCACAAGACCTTGGAGCTGCCCATTAGCCTGGTTACTGCCTCCATTCCCTTCGGTACTCCTGAAGAGATGGTAAAAGCTCACCACAAGGGCAGGCTAGAGGCTCATCTTTAGAGGCTGCTTCCTGACAGTGCTCATTCATGCATGCATTCCCCTGGACATGTACTGAGCATGCTCGGAGCCCACTGCTAGGTGCTGGGGGTACAGAGATGAATCAGACGCAAGCTGTCCTCTGCCAGACCTGGCGCCAGCTGCCCAGGGATGGTTATAAAGCTGACTAAAACCTGATCTTCTTGCATGAGGAGCCAGCAGTCTCCAAAAGAAGTGGCATGCGCTGACTGCCAATACCTGCACATTGAGTTGGCAATCCTGGGTGACAGGCAGGTGGCCAGACGGGGAGCGTCAGGCACCAGGAAAGAGCTGCCTCTGTCCTGTTGTCTCTGTCACTCCCTTTGAACATGACAGAAAGGCAGGAGCTGATCTGAAACCTCAGGGGTCATGTCACCAGTTCTTGAACCTCAGAAGTTGACGTATCAGACAACTCTCCTGATCCCGTGCAGACGATGGGACAGGCAGCCATGAGGATACTGGAAAAGGCCCAGGCTCAAGTCTTCTGGGTCAAGGGAGTCTCATTCTTTTTAGTCAGCCCATGCTGCATTAAAGGGCTGGGAATACTCCGCCTGGGCCAGGCCCTGGACACCATGGTTAAAGGTTTTGGGACTTCTGCTTCCAGGTAACAAGAGGTAATGAAGTGGATTTGGCTGACTCTCCCCGAACATCCAGAACTTTCCAAATATCTGAAACAATGGGCAATGGCAACAAGATGGTAGTCCTTAAATAATTTAAGATCTGGAGCTCTGAAGCCATTAGAGGAAGATGCTTTGAGACTTTCCGAAAGGGACTCCGAGCCCAGATGACAATCCCAAGGGTTGACTGCTGCGACTGTGTGGCATTAAGAATCTTTTCGCACAGCAAAGGAAGCAATCATCAGAGCAAAGAGATGTCCTGCTGAAAATCTTCACCTGCTACATAGCAGACAGGATTAATATCTAAACTGTATAAAGAACTGAACAAAAAAGACAGGCAATCCACCTGATCAATAAACGAGCCAATGAGCTAAACAGAGTTCTCAAAAGAAACACAAGGGGGTAATACATACTTTAAAAGGTGTCCAACATCCTGAGCCACCAAGGAAAAGCAAATTAAAATGACTTTGAGATTCTTTCTCACACCCATCTGAATGGTTATCCCTAAGAAAACAAATGACAGCAAATTCCAGGGAAGATGTGGGGAAAGAGGCAGAGTGTGAATGGGGGCAGCCACTGTGGGGATCAGCATGGATGCTTCTCAGAAACCCGAGACTAGAAATATCATCTAACTCAGCTGTATCACTGGGTACACACATGGGGGAATCTACTCCTGCCACGGACACACTTACACATCCATGTTCAGCGCTACACTGTTCACATTAGCTAAGAAATGGAGCCAGCCTAGACGTCTATCTACAGATGAACGGATAAAGAAAATATGATCCATTACACAATGTTTACGGGGGGGGGGGGTGAATGAAATCAGAGATTATTAAGTGAAATAAGCCAGATTCAGAAAGACAAACAGTTCTCTCTCGGATGCACAATTAAACCTTAAGTGTGTGTGTGTGTGTGTGTGTGTGTGTGTGTGTGTATGCATGCACCCACACATGCACATGGATGTAGTCTGGTAGAGTAGAGGATGAGAGGAGAGGAAGAGATTGCTCAGAAGGGAGGGGTGGGGCAAAGGAGAGGCTCTGGAGCGCATGTGTTGTGAAAGCAGGAGGCAAGGCTAGGGGGCAGGAAGGGGATGGAGAGAGTGAGGGGAGGGAGAGAGGATGAATGAGAACAGATCATGAAGAAGACACAGTGGAGCCTGTGGTCTTGCATGCTAACTAAAGACGCCGACACAACGATTATGATTATCATGACAGTGGCAAGGAAGAGGACGATGACAACGATGATGGACAGTAATCCCCAGCTTTCTGCCTCAAGGAATTTCTAGAGCAGCATAGGAGGGAAGGAATACAGGCAGCGACTAGGACAGAGGTGGTCCCTGCCCTAGGATGTTCTGAGTCAATGGAAAGCAGAACACACACACACACACACACACACACACACACACACACACACGCACGCACGCACGCACGCACGCACGCATGCACGCATGCACGCACACATGCACACATGGTAGGGGGGTTGCACGGTCATTTTCCACCTTGAGTCACAGCTTTATCTGGTGCTCTGCCCCTCAACCCTGCTCTTAGGCCCAGCCTGAATGCCAGGCACTACTGGGACACCGCAGGCTTCGGAGACATCATTAGACGCCTCTCCTTGGCTTCAAAGTCTTTGGTGACTCATGTGCAAGCTGCCCCAGTGGTTTGCGGCTGACTCCCTGGGAACTGAAAGGGTTGTAGGCCTAATTGGCCAT